ATAAAATTTATCGCAAAAATTCAATTATTTTCATAAATAATAAAATTCTTCTAAGGAATAATTGAATTCTTGGCAAGAATTTTATTAAAATCTAAAAGAATAATTGAAAAAGAATATTTGGAAATAATTGAATTTCTGTGAAAAAGAATTTAAAAAAAAAATTTTTTTAAATAATTGATTTTTTCGAGGAATTGAAATTAAATTTTTAAGAAAAATTACATTTTTTGAGCAATTCCTGTAAAATTGCATTAAAAATGATTGAAATCCTGCGATGAATTTTATTATTTATGAAAATAATTTAATAATAGTTTGCTAAGAATTTTATTAAAATTTTAAAAAATAATTGAATTTTTCACAGTAGAGGTTCAATTATTTAAAAAGCTTTTAATAAAATTCTTGACAAAAATTCAATTATTTACATAAATAATTCTTCGAAAGAATTCAATTATGTCGATAAATAACAAAATCATTCCCGAAAATTCAATTATTTTGGTGCATTTTAATAAAATTTTTTGCAAAATTCAATTATTTTCATAAATATCATATTGTTTTCAAAAAAATTTAATAAAATGCAACACAGGCTTTCAATTTTATGCAAACTCTAATTTAAATAATTGAATAATTATTTAAATTATAGTTTGCATAAAACTTGTCGAAAGAAATCAATTATTTAATAATTTTTATAAAATTCTTCGTTACTTTTTGATACTTTTTTAAAATTAATTAAAAATTAATTAAAAATTAATTAAAAATTAAATGAATGAAAAAATGAAAATTAGTGACTTCTATAAAAAGTGAAAATGATAGTTTTCGACGCTAGAAGTCGACGCTAACTTCGCAGGGACATGAAATATTAAAAAGAATTTTTTGAAACAGTTAAAGAATTTTTGACGTTTAAAATTGAGAAAAAATTATTTTCTAAGAATGAAATTCAAATTTGAACTGCTTTTTAGTTAAAATATTTAATAGTTAAAGCAGAAAAAAAATTAAGTGATGACAAAAAAATTGTCATTTATTTAAAAATTGAAAAGGGAATATTAGTAAAAATTTGAACTGATTCATATGATTTGGTATAGAGATAGTAGTTTAAAGGTTTAATTTTCCAAAAAGAGAATTTGAAAACAGGTTTTTGAATTGCTATTGTTTGCGTGTTTTAAGATTGTCGTTGCCTTGACCACAAGATTAAGGTACACATACATATATAGAAGCAGCGAAGCTTTTTTGCGGTCATTGCCCACTTGATTGCATACATATATCGCATAGGCTCGATAGCATCTTCTAGCTCTTTATAATATGCCTTCACAGTTTCTTTTGCTATTCGTCACTTTCTTTGCTCTTCGTTAATATTTTGCAATTTTGCTCAAAAAAAAAAGAAAAAAAACTTGTTCCGCTTCTAATAATAATTCAGGTATTGATGAAAATTTTCTTCAGTCAATTTTTCTTTACTTTTTCTCACTTTTCTTCACGATCATCTCTAAACTTGAATTAGCGAAAAATCCACTAATTAAATCAGTAAAAATTTCCAATAATTCTTATAGTAAAATTCTACTATTTCCTTTAATAAGTTTTTTAAATTTTCTAATTTTTTAAGTTTTACAATTTTTACTAAAGTAGTCCTGGAAGGTATTTTTTAATAATTTCCAATTCAAAATTTAAAAAATTCACATTTTAACATATTCTAAATTACTAAAAATAAATATTTTCAAAAATTTTAATGAAATTCTTCGAGCGAGAATTCAATTACTTTTATTAATAACAAACTACTGCACAGGAAGGAAGTAATTTATTTTCAATGCAATTTTAATATAATTCTTCGAGAGAATTTAATAATATTTAAAATTTTTAATAAAATTCTCTTCAAAATAATTTATTTATTTTCAATACAATTTTAATTAAATTCCTTGAGTGATAGAATTGTTATAAATTATCTATTTTCTTTTTCTATTCTAAAAGACTATTGAAAATTTAGTTTTTATCTCAATTCTCTTTTTTCCGTGTGACAAAACTTTCCACTCTTTGAATAATAATTTGTTTCAAGTTTTCGTAGTCTTCGTTCTATTTAAATTGGGAATTGTGTCACGTTTAGAATTGAGAGTAGGAAAAGAGGATAATTTTTCTAAAGATGAGAATAATTTTCGGGAAAAAAAAATTTGAAATCAAGTCGCTTTTCGTGCAGTAAATTTATTTTTCAAAAAAAAAACCCTAAACGCTCGTATGAAAATATTTTTTTGAAATATAAATATTTTCATTACTCACTAAAATAAAAATCAAAAATTATGTTCTCGAAATTTTTAACGTTCAAATGAACGAAATTACTTTCCTTCTTTTTCAAATTGTTTAATTTACGTTTTTTTGAGTTTTATTGCAACTGGTAATTTTTTATGTTAAATAAATATTTCGTTCTTTTGAGCGTTATCAATTTTTTTGTCGCGTTCATTTACTTTCCTAAAATTTTGAACTTTCAAATGAAGAAAATATTTTTTTACTCCAATATTTTCAAAAATTACTAGAGTAAATTGAAAAATATTACAATAATTGTAATATTTTTCAAAATTGATTTAATTAAAAATTATTTTTTTCATTATAAGAAACAATATTTTGCAAATAAAATTGAAATTCAAAGAATTAATAAAAATATCCTGTCTCAATATTTTTTATATAATAAAATTCGAAATCTAAAGAGAAATAAATTAATTTCGTTTAATGGAGAAAATTTGGAAGCAAATTCGGAAAAATTTTAGATTAGATTTGAAATTTAGTCTAGTTTTAATGTCCGTAAAATTTTTATAATGTTGAAACCATCGAAATTTCTTTCTTTCTTTTTCAAAAGTTCAAATACTATTATAATAATATTGGACCAAGAGTGATTTTAAAAAATAATTACTTTTCGAATATATAATTTATTTTTGATTTTTATTTCAGTGACAAATTTTTGAAAATATTTGTAAATTACAAAAATATTTCGTTCAGAATTTTTTTTATCACTTGTTTTAAAATTCAGTTCTGAAACAATAGCCTCGAAAATATTGTGAAGAATGAAAATGAAAATCACTTTTCAATTATCTGTATAGCAGTTTATCGATTTGATTTGAAGAATAGTAAAAAAAAAATAAATAAAGAAACAATTGACTTTTTGAACAATTCTCTTTACTAACATAGTTTTGAGTTATTTGCGATAATTTTTCTTCTTGGGTATATAAATTTTTCATTTATACATTTTTCAATACACATAATTGTAACTGTATACCTGCTGGCAAATAATTCTTTTCCGCGCAATTTTTAATAGTTTCTGAAACAGTAGATAAATATATAATATGTGTATGAATACTGAAATGGGAATTTCATGTGCACATTTCATATTTAGTTATTTACGAATTCTTTTCATGATGCACACATTCAGTCAGCGATGCGCGATGAGAAAATGACGTCAAACCTTCACGCACGCGGTTAGAATTGTTTCCAATTTTCACTATGCTAGGTCAACCCGAACGGTTTCCGCCTTTCGAAAGGCAAACATTTTTTTTTTTTTTTTTTTTTTTTTTTCATGAAACAATTGGTTATACTATAAATTAATATTATTTTCAAATTGTCTATGTGTGAGCTGCTTATTGCTGTTATCGTTTCATTATAGATTGTTGTCTTTCAGAAATGTCCCGCAGTTGGTGTAGTCAATTGGAAAAATTAATTTTACTTTCGATTGTATTGTTTCATTTGTAGTGTATGGAAGAATTTTTGCGATTTTTAGTATTTTGTATTTTTCTTCTTATAGTTTTGTTTGCATTTTTTTATTCTTGAATTTTTTTTACATTTTTGAATTTTTATTTATATTTTTAATTTTTACATTTTTATTAACGTATTTTTATTTTTGAATTTTTTTTTACATTTTCTTAGTTTGAAATTTTTCTTTAAGTAATTTTATTCTTGAGTTTTTAATTTTTTATTTATATTTTTTATTTTTTGCATTTTCATTTGTTTCTTTTTATTTTTGAATTCTTATTTACATTTTTCTATAGTTTTTAATTTTTATTTACATTTATTTTCATTTTTTATTTTTGCATTTTTATTTACGTAATTTTATTTTCGGACTTTTTATTTAAATTTATGTGTATTTGTTTTTATTTTTAATTTTTATTTGTTTGCTTATTTGAATTAACAATTTTTTTATTTACATTCTAAATTTGAATTAGTGAAAATTGATTGAGCCACTGATTCAGATTAATAAGAATACTCACTAATTTTTATAGTAAAATTTACTATTTTGTTTAGTAATTCTAATTTTCTTTCGAATTCGAATTGAAAGAGATAAGTTTTTTTACAAGTTATTTTTAATTTACTCTCTGAAGTTGAATTATTTATAAAGATAATTAATTTGATTGTAAAAAGTTAGTCACTGCTTCAATTATTAGTAATACATATTTTTTCTAATAAAACATAGATAAAAATGGCCAGTTATTAATGAAATTCACTATAAAGTTGGGCCAAATTCACTAAAATTTTCCATAACTAATTTAATTAGTTTAATTTGACTATTTTCTTAGTTATTTTCTACAAATAATCACTACTAAATAATTATTTTCTACTAATTATTAGTTATTTCTTACTCATAAGTTATTTTCTACTACTAAATAGTAATTTTCTACCAATAATAGTTAATTACTAGAATTACTGCTAAATAAATAATTGTTACACCCAGAGAAATAATTTATTTGAATTTTTTGAAACAAATAAAAATTTTCTAAATTAAAATTTTTTTACTACCTACTAATTAGTAATTTTTTACTAATAATAATTAATTACTAAAATTACTGGTAAATAATTAATTATTAGTTATTTTCTACTAATAATTACTTATTTTCTACAAGTAATTATTTTAATACACTGATAATAGTTAATCACTAATTATTACTACTACGCAATAAATAATTTGATATTTTTTAATAACAATATAAATTAGATGATTATGGAGATGAGTTAATAATAAAGTTGTTGTTTACTTCCAGTGGGGAAAAGGAAGGTGAAAAAAAGGAGAAGGAAAAGGAGAAGAAGAAAGGTAAGCTGAATAAATGAGTGTTAATTAAAAAAAAAATATTTCTAACATTTTTGTAATCAAGGCACATTAATGTATCATTTTCACTGTTTCGAAATTTTTGTCAAAAAAAATTTTTTTTTAAGAATTCGAATTTTTAATGTCAAACTTTTTTCACATTCATGAGTCTAGTAAAATTACTTTTCTTAATTTGGAAAAAATTAAGTAAAAATAAAGTAAAAAATAGAGTAAAAAAATAATAAAAAAAAAGAGTAAAAATAAAGTAAAAAATAGAATAAAAAATAGATTAAAAAATAGAGTAAAAATACAGACTTAATAGAATAGAAAAAAATACTCTAAAAACAATTTGTTCCTTCCTTTTCCTTTCAAAAGAGATTTGATGCTATTAAGGAGAAATTTTTTAACTCGTACACAATCCGGCTGTTCATACTCAATAAAACAAAAAAAATCCCTCCTCTCTTAAAATAATTGCCTCGTATTTATTTTCCATTTATAAAAAATTTCTTTTTAGACTTTTAATGTATTTTTTTCCAATTTTAGAAAATGCCGTCCAGCCGCACTGTCACATCACTCTGAAATGCACCCGAGAGGTGAGTGACTTCCGATCTGTCTGAGAGAATATTTTTAGATTTCTTGTCCTAAAAAAGAAAAAAAAATGAGGAAGGAAAAATGAGAATCAATCATCAAGTGCGAGTGTGAATGGAGAAGGTCGATCGAGCAATTTTGGGGGAATAGTTGAAGAATATAGGAATTAGAGAAACTATTATCAAAATCTCCCCTTTGATTTTTTCAAAAGGGTGTACAAGGATTTCTTTAAAAAGAAAATAAAAATGTATTCTTAAGCCCTTAATTTTGAGGACTTTCGTCTCCAGGATGTTTCATTTCCTGTAATTTTGTTTTATATTTACAGATTGCAGGTTTCAATGGTTTGAGTGACGCCTTGAAGAGACTCGATTTCTTATCAGCTGTTCATGACTGTCGTCGCTTCAATTATATCGTCAGACTCTTAGATTTGCTTGTGAGCCACAGGATGGGAGGGCTTAGCGGATGTGCCCAACGTGTTCTTTTTAACATGCTCGAGGAAGTTGCATTAGAAGGTATTGAATTGAATACGAAAATTGATGATCGTTTATTTATTGCTGTTAATTGCGATAATATGCGCGGAAAAGTATAATTAATTTACTGCAAATCTTCTTCTTTTTAATACTGACTACGATTTTTATTTAATTTTGTCTAAAGTTGGTGTTTTCGATTTTAGAAAAGAGAAATTAATTTTCTAGATGATCCACAGCTTTTGAATGTTCAAATAAACGAATTTTTTTGCCAATGTGAATATTTATTCATATTTTGGCAAAAAATTTCGACTCTATAAAAAACAAAACTATTTAGAATTTTATTTACATATTTCCAAATATTTAAAAGCTTTAAGAATTATTTTCAATACGTGGCGCAATATTATTGCAAGAAAACATTAATTTTGAAGAGCATGTAATTTATTTGAACGTTCGGAACTTTGGGGATAAATTAGGAGGAAATTATTTTTTCTACTTGAATTAATTTTCGTTTTTTTGGATTTTTTGCAGTGTCCTTATCGCAACAACAAACTGGAAAATTAAGACGACTTATAGAGAGGGTTCGAGCCTTCAGCGCTGGTTGCTGTTGGGGAGGCAGAGCTCTGGGTTCAGTCATTTTGTGGGAGAAACATAAAGCAGCTCTCGAGCGAATTTTGCATATCGCCTCGTCGATTACTATTACACAGGTTGTGATTAGAATTTTTCTCTTTAGAAAAATCATCATCTGTTTCATTTGAACTTTCAAGATATTATGGGACGTGAACTTCGCCAAGTTTATGATAAATAATTTAGAAGAAACGTCTTTAGAGAAATTATTTTTCTCTTCAAATTTTGTGTAAACTTTTTTGTCTGGAAAAATTTCAGTGTTGATACGATTTTCAGGGTTGACACAAATAAGAGAAAAGTCGAGGAATTTTATCAAAAGTATTGGAGAAAGGATTCATTTTCTCGAATCGATTTTTAAAAATCTGATATTTGGAGTTCATCAAGTTGTGAAAATATTAAAAGCCTCATTTTTATTGAATTTTTTTTAAAGTGATGAACTTTGAAAAAGAAAAGAAATTTAGAAATTAATTTATTTGACATAATTTTGCGTTAATTTGTGAATTTTTTTTATATTTTGAAAGATAACATTTTTGATAACTTTTTATACTACTTTTGGAATTTTTGTAAAAATTTCTAATGTTGCATCTAAAATAATTTAATTCTTACATTGAATTTTATGGAAATTTTTGAAAATAATTAAATTGTTTTGAAGAATTTAATTAAAAATATATTGAAAATAATTCAATTCCTGACAAGAATTTTACTAAAATTATATTATAATTTTTAAAAATAATTGAATTCTGTCGAGAAATTTACTAAAATTGCATTGAGAAAAATTGAATTTCTGCAAAGAATTTAATTATTTATGAAAATAATAAAATTCTTGCAAATTTTTTCGACGAATTTAATTAAAATTGTATTAAAAATAATTCAATTATTATATAGACTTTTATATATATTTTTAAAAATAATTGAATTCTGTCGAGAAATTTTATTAAAGTTGTATTGAAAAGAATTTATTTTCTGCGTAAAATTTTATTATTTATAAAAATAATTGAGTTCTCGTCAATTTTTTCGACGAATTTAATTAAAATCGTATTGAAAGTAATTCAATTCTTCTATAGCATTTTAACATTTTTGAAAATAATTGAATTCCTACAAAGAATTTTATTAAAATTTTTAAAAATCATTGAATTATGTCGAGAAATTTTAATAAAATTGTATTGAAAATAATTGACTTTCTGCGAAGAATTTTATTGTTTATAAAAATAATTGAGTTCTCGTCAATTTTTTCGACGAATTTAATTAAAATCGTATTGAATGTAATTCATTTCTTCTATAGAGTTTTAACATTTTTGAAAATAATTAAATTCCTATGAAGAATTTTAAATTAAAATTTTTAAAAATAATTGAATTGCTGCAAAAAATTGTATTATTTATATAAATAATTGAATACTTGAAAATTTTCACGGAATTGAATTAAAATCTTATTGAAAATAATTAAATTCTTTTATAGAAGTTTATTTAAATTTTGAATCATAAATTATTAAAAATTAAGTTGCTATTTGAACATAAAAAAAATTTTATAATTTACATAAATTATTATAATTACTATAAATTATTAAGAGAACAATTTTTTTCAAAAATTCAATAAATAATTGAAATTTGGTTGAATTGAGTTTGAAATTTTCATAATAAATTGAATTTTGCAACGTTTTGAATTCAAAATTTTGGAAAATCTTGACTCCTTTGGAAAAGTAATAATAATAATTAAATATTTATATAAAAAAAAATTATTAATGTTTCGAATAATTTTGAAATTGAAAGTAATCACAAATAAATGTATTAGAAACATTTTCTTATATATAAAATCATTTTTAGAGCGAAACAAAATTTTCTTTAGAGTCAGGGAAAAAGTCAAAATTTTGTTTTTAAATAAGGGAAAAGTGAGAGAAAAACAAAATCCAATTTTTGTGCTCCACCCTGAATTCTGCGGAAAATCTGAAATTTTTATGGCATTTTTTTTAGTTAAGAAAACTTGGAAAAATTTTCAACAGATTTTATTCAAAAACAAGTCGAATAATTTAGAATTATATAATAATTAGGCTATAATATTAATACAAATAATTAATAAAATATTAATTTAATTCATATGCTTAAATGTTGGAATAAATAAATAATTGAGATATAATTAATTAATTACAAATATTGGGAATTAATATGAATAAATTTGCGCAGCCCGACGAGGAGCAACATCCACAATGGTCCGATTTACCAGCAGAATGTCGACGAGAAGTGCTACTTAGATTAAGTGATCCACGCGACATTGAAGCATCATCCGAGGCTTGCGAACATCTCGCTGTCCTTGCTCAGGAGCAAAGAATTTGGCGTGAACTCGCTCAGTATCATTTTACGCCACAGCAAATAGCAACAACTCGACAAAAAAATCCCGGTCAAGACTGGAAGACTTTATTTACGATTGCCCGAAAGTGTGTATTTTTTATTCACTAAAACTATTAATTTCATATATTTTTCATTTTATTTTCAAGTACAGTGAAAGAATAAATTAATTTTCTCCCCCAGGTCTTTTGGTCTTCGAGAGGAATATGCAGAAATGATTCAATTATGTCGTAACTGCCGTTGTTTATTTTGGCGATCATTGGGCCATCCATGCATCGCCGATCAAGATCCGGCCTTTCAAGAGAAATTAGCTGACGTTGATCAAACCACACTCCACGTTCCGATTCCACCACAAACTTTCTTAAAGTTCTTTTCGCTGTGAACAATTTAATTTTCAAATGCTTTTTGTTTAAAACATTGAGCAGAAACAATTACACATCAGAAAATAAAAGAGAGAAAGAAAGAAAGTATGAATGATTGATTGAATCGTATTATAGAAACTGCCGATGAATGATTCACTTTTAAATTATTCTCAGTAAAATTCTAGACAAATTGTTATAATTGTACTCGTTCCAAGAATCAAAGAAAAAATATATATTGAATTATATATTTTTTTCTGTCGGCAGTGAATTTAAATTTTTCGCGTGTGACTCCTAGTCTGCTTTATCTTTATCGTGACTCGTCCAAAAGAAAAGAAAGAAAGAAACTATATTACGCTTTTTGGAGAAAAATTCAATTTAAAGCGTACACGAGAATTTCGCCTAATATTGTGATTAGAATTCACGAAAAGAGAAGAATACTTTCATCGAGAGGGAGATAGAGTGTATTTAAAGGTGTATTTAGAGGAATGATCCTGTTTTGTAAATTATCGGCAAAGATTCCTGCCATTAAAGAGCGAGATCTTTATCATTGGAAGGAGAGAAAGAGAGAAAGAGAAATAATTATAAATCTTCTATCTTGTACTTAATATCCAGATTAAATGTTAGAAAAGTATCGAGTATGAATTCTGAATTAATCGATTAGCAAATTGATCTCGAAATCAAGTTCGTATTTTCTTCTCGAGTAAGTTAGGCCTGCAAAGACAGTGACATTACTTCTTTTTATTTACTGCTCTTGTACATTGCTTCCTTGTGGAAGTATCGATTTTGTTTCTCTATTTCCGATCGTCTTGTTTTGGTGCTTGCAATATTTTTGTAAATTTTAGCATCGATTTTCGTTAGTGAAGATCACAACGTCTATAATCAACTTCTTCTTTTTCAAATTAAATTAAATTTTTGAAAATTTAATTTTCAAAATAAAATTCCAAATAAAAATACAGTTAATTAAGAAATTAATTAAAAATGAAAATGTAATTAGGAATAAAGAAGTCAAAAAAGGAAAAATTTTCAACGCAATTTTTTTTGCAAATTTTTCTGTTTAAAATAGTTAATAAGAAAAAATTGCTCGAGTTTTTCCAAGCGAAAATATCAAAATTTGAATAGAAAAATATTCTTTTTTCTAGGTCGTTGATCACAAACGTTGTGAACTTTACAAAAATATTAATTTAACGAGAGTGAAGTTCGCAACTTTTATAATCGACGATTAATAGAAAACAATATTTTTCACATGGAAAATAATAAAGTTTTTTTTACGAATTTTACTTTTTAAAACAGGCAATAAATAAAAGTAGTAAAAAATTTTTGAAAAAAAAATATTGCTAGGGAAAAATTAGGAAAATTTGTCTAGAAAAACATTTTTCAGCTTTTTCGTGAGGAATTCAATGGCCAGAAAATAAAATTCTTGAACCTTTTTGAATTGACGAAGGAAAATATTGATTTTTACTATTTTTGGAGCAGTTTTCGTTTTAAATTTTGTTTTTAGGTTGAAAATTTAAAAAAACATTATTTTTCAATTTTTTTTAAAATTAATTTTCTTTATACATTTTCTTAAATAATTTGAAATTATGATTTTTTATATTTTAAAAATTTTAAATCGAGTTTTTTTTGCATAAAAAATCATGATTTTTCTGAATAATTTAAAATCATAATTGTTTAATATTTTTTACGTACAAAAATCATGATTTCAAAATTAAATTAAATTTTAAAAAAATTAAAAAACAAATAAAATAAGAAACAAAAAGAAAGTTAAGAAACAAATGAATTTTCAAAAAAAGAAATTGAATAATAATTGCTCTTTTTAGTATTTTCAGCCTAAAATTAGAGTTTTTTTTAAAAAAAATGTTACAAAAATTGTAAAAATCACTCTTTATTCGGAAATTTTTTTGTGGATACAAAAAAATATTTTCTAACCATTGAATTCGTCACAAAAAATTACCAAAAAAATAATTTTATAGAATATTCAGAAAATTTACTAAATATTGTTGAATTCTCCCTATAAAATAATCGATAAAAAAAATTTTGTAATAAATTTCTAAAAAATGTTTAAAGGAAAAAATTATAAAAAATTTTCTTGGCAAAACATTTTTTCTCCAAATTTGTCGATTGTAAACGTTGTGAACTTCACCAATTTTCAATTAATTCTTCTTCTTCTTCTTCTTCTACAAACATTATTATACATACTCGTGTCAAATTAGTTTCTGACAATGCTTCAATATCGCTAAATATTTTAATTACTAGTTAGATATAATAATTTAAGTTCTTCGATCTTTTTTTCACACTATGAAACTTAGTGATATTAATTCTTAATTTTCGAGGTCTCTCGTTCCTCTTTTCTTCATTTTTTAATATAAAAAAAAGAAAAATGCTTTTCTTTACGCTCTGAAAAGTAATATTTAAGTAGTTGAATTTGCACTTTTTGAATATTTCTTAAACAATGGATAATTAAAAAAAACTATTATCCGAGGCTACGAGATTCAAGCGGATGATTTTTTTTTTTGTTTGAATACTGTGATGACGATTTATATTATAAAAAAAAACGATGGTACCTAGAGTGAGAGAATTGGAGAATTCTGACTTTATTCAATTTTTATTCAAGGCAGATCCTATTTACACTGTTTTTATGAATTTTTGTCGATACACTCGTTTATTGCATCAATCAATTTTAATTATCGATTTAATTTATAATAAAAAAAAATGCGTATTCTATATATTTAGCTTCTACGATTTATTAATCGTTAAAAAATGAAATAAAAAAAAAATGAAGAAATTATACTGCCAAAAGAGATGCTATTGCATTTAATATAATTATATAAATATATGAATTGATAATTCTGATAAATTTTCGATTCTTACATCGCAAAAGACGATTCTTTTTGATATTCGCTTTTTATTTTCAAATGTAATTTTTTTAAGCCATGATGCATGACTTATAATGTATATTTTACTAACCTAGTCATTATCATAGGATAACCGAATAACGTTGTCTCTATGGAAAAAAAAGAATGGAGGAAAAAAAAATTCAATTACCAAATTATGAATCCGGCAGCTGATGTAACTATACTAATTGTAATTGTCGTGTAAAATTTCAACGATCTTAGTTTCTCAGCCGTTTAAAATATATGAAAAAAACAAAGGTAATTGTTAAAAAGGCACTAATCGCGATGAAATGCTATAGAAAAGTAGAAATTAAGTATTTTTCGATTATATTTAAATAAATATTATATATATATATAATTATAATGATTAATTATAATAATTTAATCATGCTACGTAGAAAATGTTTCTTTTTTTTGAGAGAGAGAAATTGATAAAACTTTTAAAAAAAGTAAAATCAATTTTGTTGTTGGCAAAATATTTGTTTTTGTGTGAAGACTTTCAGTAAATTAAAAAATTTATTGAAAACTTCGAATATGTAAAAAGGTATAAATAAAAAAGAGAATACTTTATTCAAATTAGTGCCTTTTTAATTCACCTTATTATTTTCAAATAATGTGTAGAATGGTGTTGTGCAAACGCTTTGAAATAAATATCTATTTAAATATAATTCAGTGCTTATTATTTTAATAACTGTTTACTTTAAGAGAAAATCTTTTTTAGTCAAAAAAAAAGTCATTTCGTATTTTAAAAGAAGAAAATAAATTAAATTCTTAATTTCTTTTTATTTTTAATTAAAATATTTAATTAAACATTACAAAGAATTGTAATTTTTATTCAAATGCAACTTTTAATTGTTTAAAATGTTACAATATTACCATTTTTTTGTCAAAGAGAAATATTCATTAAATTTTAGGTTATGTTGCCAGAAAATTGTAATTTTCGCATTTTTCAAAAGCAACTTTTTATCTTTTAAAATGTTGATGAAAATTAAATTCTTTAAACTTTCACTAAATCGAATTTAAAATTTAATTCATCCTTTTTTGTATAAAATACAAAATTATGCCATTGAAGTAACTTTCGTTTCAATTATTTCTGATTTTTATATTTATTTCTCAAAGTTTGAAAAATAACTTTTAGTAATTATATAATAATAAAATTATATATAATACTAAACAATAGTAATATAACAATAATAAATAATAATTTTCTTCACATTTCAGTTTCTTACCCAATTTGAATTTTCGCCCCCGATCATCAGTGCTGCCATCTCGATCAACTAAATTTCGGAAAAATTAATTCTTTTCCCGAAAAAATATCAATTTCTTTATTATTTTCACCACTTGTAACAGAATATTTTAATTATTAATTATTTTCTAACTACAATAAATATTAATTGTAAATCGAAAACAAAATTAAGTTATAATTCTTGAGATTCTTTAAAGGTGAGTTGTGAAATTTATCGTAAATTACGGTAAATTCCTGAAAATTCCATTGTGCAAGGAGGAATAATAAATGTGCGCATGCGCAGTTATTATTAATCTTAAGTGACGCGCTGCGTTGCGCTGTGTTCGGTCGACTCTTGATTAATGTTGAACACCGCGAGTTTAATTTACAATTCAGTGTAATCAAATAATTTAAAGAATTCATAAAAATGTCGATGCAACCACATAGCAGAAAACGTGTCTGCTACTACTATGATAGTAAGTATTAAAAATAATTATAAATTTTTCTGAAAATTTTAATGCTCAAAAAAAAATTTTTTCCAAAGTGCTTTATAGGTTGTCAAAGTGTGTTGTATATTGTCGATTTGATTTGGAGAAAAATTTCTTGTAGATTGTAATTTTTTTTTTTTAATTTGATTGAATTTTTTTTCTATAAAAATGATTTTGAATTTTTTTTCTTTTGATTGTTTAGTGAAGAAAAAGTTGGGTTAAGCGTGTGATTGTATACGGAGAGGTCTGATTTTTGTATGGTTAAGGCGAGAGATTCTCAAAGTTCAACTCCGCAACACTGTATTTTATGAATGCCAACCCATGGCTGAGCGTCAGTCATGAACCACGAAATCAAAATCAGACTGTAGTTTACTTGTGAATTTTTCGTCTTATCTCGAATAATTTCATACTTGACAAATTTTTTATGAGAAATTTTTGTTGTTTTTTGTTTGGTATTTTTGAGATATTGGAGTCTTTGGATTATTTTCATATTTGATGTAGAGATTTTTAGGGGTTTTTTTCTTTTATTTGAGAAAATTTAAATTTACATAAGTAGGTAAATTTTGGAATTTTTTAAGGAATGCTTGAAAAGATTAAACAATGATGCAACTTTGGTAAATAATTGATTTTTCAGTGATTTTATTTTTTGGTATATTTTTTCTTTTAGATTTAAAAATTGGAGGTTAAAGTCAAATATTTATAAAATTGATGCTTAAGATCCGGGGAATTTAGTTAAGGTTAATTTTTATGTTTGATAAATTTTTGTTGTAGTCATTGTTTGGTTATAGTAAACTGCATTGTGTTGACAATTTTCGTGTAAGATAAATACATCTTTAGAAATAAAAGTTTTTCAAGTGTGGATCCGCACAACCGTAGTTTGCGCGACGTGCCTTGTATCACGTTTAAACATGTATGAGTTGAATTCTGAAAGTCCAATTTCGATTTTTTATGGGAACAGTTTTTTTTCGGCAAAGAATAAATAATGACGCTCAACTCGATTAAATTAAAACTGTAGGAAATATTTTACGTTTGTCTTTTTGTTTCACTGCAAAATGTAGGATATTTAGTAAAAAAAAAACTTAGTATATTTAGTAAAAAACTTAGCATATTTAGTAAAAATATAATTAGTAAGAATATTTTTAGTAAAAATATAGTATATTCAGTAAAGTATTGAGTAATAAACATTAAGAAAATGGTTCAATGATATAAGTAAATAAAATTTGAAAATGTTTTAAAAACTGCAGTTTTTTTAAAATATGTAATAATTAAAATTTTTTTCCAGGCGACATAGGGAATTATTATTATGGGCAGGGCCATCCCATGAAACCACACCGTATAAGGATGACACATAATTTACTGTTAAATTATGGTCTTTATCGAAAAATGGAAATTTATGTGAGTTTTATATTTTTCCTCCCCATGGAAAATTACTAAGAGTTTATTGGCGAATGTTATTTTGATTTTGTGTGATTTATTTGCAGCGTCCGCATAAAGCAACTGCTGATGAAATGACCAAGTTCCACAGTGACGAATACATCAGATTCTTGAGATCAATTAGGCCAGATAACATGACAGAATATAATAAACAAATGCAGAGATGTAAGTGAATTATTTACTTAGCAAAACAAAATTATTGTTATGGAAATAAATAAATTTTCTAAATTAATTAATTCCATTCAAAATTAATAATTTGAAATGCAGGATTTACTCAGGTTAGGAATATTAGGGAAAAGACAGGGAAAGTAGAATTTATTGTTCAAGGAAATCAAGGAAAAGTCAGGGATTTTTATTATAAAACTACTGGAAAAAATTAAATTTTTAGAATTCATAAGAAAATTATGAATTTTTATGTCTTTTTTGTTTGCCTCATAAACCACGAATTTTAATACAAAACATTCAATTTTTTCTATTTCTGACAATAATTTCCTTTTAAATAACTCAATTCTTGAAGAACTATCATAAAATTAATTATAAAATAATTAATAATTAATTAATTACTTAGAAATTATTTAATGAATAATTTTACTTAAATATTTCAAAATTAATTGAATTTTAAAAGACTTGTGTTTACAATTTTCATAAACAGATAAACTTCAAAAGTTTTAATTTAAAATTTTATAAAATTTCAATTTTTAATAAATTTAATTAGAAATTTCAAAGAACTTAGATTTTTGAAAAATTTTAATAATTCAAATTCTTCAGAATTTGAGTTAATTTTTTTAATTTATATTTAATTAGTTATTAAAAATAATGGATCTACAGAAGAATTTTAGTTAAAAACACTACAAAGTATTTGAATTTTGGAGAAGTTACAAATGATTGCAGAAATTCAATTATTTTAAAAAGTTATCAAATTCTTCCCAAAAATTTAATTACGATCGTAACTTTTTAAAAATTCTCTTCAAAATTTCAATTATCTTTATAAATAATAAAATTCTTCTCCGAAATTCAATTGTTTTACAATTTTTTAATAAAATTTTTGACAAAATTTCAATTATTAACAAAAAATTTCTCTCAATTCAATGATTTTCAATATCTACTATTTTAATAAAGTTTTCCAAAAGAATTAAATTATTGAAGAAAAAGTTTGATAAAATTCTACACAAACATTTAATATATTTTCATAAATGATAAAAATTTTACATGAATATTGAATTATTTACAGATTTTTTTCCAATTTCTTCGCAATAATTCAATTATTTTCAGAAATAATAAAATTTTATACAAAAATTCAATTATTTTTATAAGTAATAAAACTTCTCGAAGAATTTTAATTATTTTTAGTACAATTTTAATCGAATTCCTTGAAAAATGAATGTCGGTTAAGATGTCAGATACTAATTGAATATTAAAAGCATTGTAGCACAAATTTTTCGAAATAGTTGAATTTTGAAAAGGATTAAAATTAAAATCTTATTTTAATAAAATTCGTTGCAAAAAAAAAATTATTTTCATAAGTGAGTAAAACTAAAATTTCTCAAAAATTCAATTATTTAAAAAGATTTTTATAAACTTCGTTGCAAGAATTCAATTATTTTCATAAGTAATAAATTTTCACAAAGATTCAATTATTTAAAAAACAATTTTCATACAATTTGTCAACTATTTAAAGAAAATTTAATAAAGTTCTATTCAAGAATTCAATTATTTTTATAAATAATAAAATTCTTCTCAGGAATTTATTTTAAAGAAATTTAATAAAGTTCTATGCAAGAATTTAATCATTTTCTTAAATAATAAAACTCTTCGGAGATTTTCAATTATTTTTAATACAATTTTAATCAAGTTCCTCGAAAAAAGCAATTATTCTTAAAATTTTTAATAAAATTCGTCGATGAATTCAATTTTAAGAAACATTTAATTATTCAATAAATTATTAATTTTTTTATTTAAATAATTGAATTCTCGTAGAATTTTCTAATAAAACTTGATTTAAAAATTAATTTCAGTTAAAATTTTAGATAATAATTAATAATAATATAATTAATAATAATAATAATTAATAATTTTAGAAATAATTAAATTTTGAATAGGTTTCAAATGAAAATCATTGAAAATTTGAATTTTCTGTACTTTTAACTAACAATTGTGTAAAATTAAGTTTTTTTGAAAAAGTTTAATTTAATTTTTTTGAAAATATTTGAAGTTTTTATTTTCTAATATAATATTTTATTGAAAAATTTCCGAATAATTGAAATTTCGCAAAATTGAATTGTAAACAAATTGATTTGAAAATTCTCAAAGAACTTTTTCAAAAGTTAATAAAAATAATTGATTTAGAGAAAAATTTTAGTTAAAAACTCTAAAAAAAAAATAATTGAATTTTTGATAAGTTACAAATAATTGCAATTTTTAGAAGTAATTAAATTTGAATAAGGTTTCAATAATATCTTTGAAAATTTTAATTTTTCATACTTTTAACTAACAATTCTGTAGAATTAATTTTTGTTGAAAAAGTTTAATCGATTCTTGATTCAGAATTGTAAACAAATGGATTTGAAAATTCTCAAAGAACTTTTTCATAAATTAATAAAAATAATTGTTTTAAAGAAGAATTAGAGTTAAAAATTCTAGAAATTAATAATTAAATTGAAATGATGAAAATAATTTTAAAAAAGTTAGAATAACAATTATTGTTCTCAAAATATAAAATAATAATTTTATCACTCGGTCATTTTTAATATTATTATAAAACATGAAGATATCGATTGCTCCGAGTCGAAGACTCGGAGTGATAGATTTCTTCATGTTTTCGAATAATATTTTTATAAGTTGTTGAATTCAAAAAAGCTATAGAATTTGAAATTTTTGAAAATCTTAATTATCATGGAAAAATAATAGGTACTGATTAAATATTTATTTTAGAAATAAAGTTATTGTTTTTTTGGCCAAATTTCCAATTAAAGAAATTTATAAATAAATGTAAGAGTAGATTTTTTTAGAGTGAATCAGAATATTCATTAGGGTTTTAAGGAAAAAATCAAAATTTTGTCTGGAAATCAGGGAAAAGCAAAATTAAATTTTTGTAACAACCCTGAAATGGGCTAAATTGGAAAATAATGGAATGGGAAATTATTTTAATTACAAATTATTAATTTGGAATGGATTTTTATAAATGGGAAAATAATTGAATAGGGAAATAATTTTTGATTGAAAACACTTTTGCAGTTAATGTTGGAGAGGATTGTCCTGTATTTGACGGTTTGTATGAATTCTGTCAACTATCCGCTGGGGGTTCGGTAGCGGCAGCAGTGAAACTGAATAAGCAAGCTTCTGAAATTTGCATCAATTGGGGTGGAGGTTTACATCACGCGAAGAAAAGTGAGGCTTCCGGCTTTTGTTATGTCAATGATATTGTACTTGGCATTTTGGAACTGCTCAAGTATCACCAAAGAGTATTGTATATTGACATTGACGTGCATCATGGCGATGGTGTCGAAGAAGCTTTTTACACAACCGACAGAGTCATGACCGTTTCCTTCCATAAATACGGGGAATATTTCCCCGGTACTGGCGATCTTCGCGATATCGGAGCTGGAAAGGTGAGAAAATTTATTTCATTGCATTCAATCGAGAGGAAATTAATTTAATTCCTAAACTTGAGTGGAATTAATTAAATTCCTAAATTTAAATAGTTGTAATTGAATTTAATGGATTGATTAAATTACTTTAATTTTAATTCGTTAATTTTTAACTAGTTTTGAATTATTTAATTTCCAGGGTAAATATTACGCGGTTAATATTCCATTGAGAGACGGAATGGATGATGAGAGTTACGAATCCATTTTCGTTCCGATTATCTCGAAAGTTATGGAGACCTTCCAGCCGTCGGCGGTTGTTTTACAATGCGGCGCTGATTCTCTGACTGGCGACAGATTAGGATGTTTCAATTTAACAGTCCGTGGGCATGGAAAGTGTGTGGAATTTGTAAAAAGATACAATCTTCCATTCCTCATGGTTGGTGGTGGAGGTTACACGATTAGAAATGTCTCGAGGTGTTGGACTTTTGAAACGTCGGTTGCTCTAGGATCGGAAATTGCTAATGAACTGCCATACAACGATTACTTTGAATATTTTGGACCTGATTTTAAATTACACATTAGTCCATCGAATATGTCTAATCAGAATACGTCCGAATATCTCGAAAAAATAAAGTGAGTTTTTCATCTTTTAGTCTTTTAGAGTTTTATTTCTTATTTTTGATTTTACTGATTGAGTTATGTTTTTTTTTCAGGACGAGGCTCTTTGAAAATTTGAGAATGTTGCCGCATGCACCGGGAGTTCAGGTGCAAACGATCCCAGAAGATGGTGCTGTGATAGACGACTCGGAATTGGAGGAGAAAGTGAATCCTGACGAAAGGCTGCCACAGAGGGACATTGATAAGAGGATACAACACGAGAATGAGTACAGTGACAGTGAAGATGAGGGTGAAGGTGGCCGAAGGGACAATAGAACCTTCAAGGGCTCGAGGAAGAGGCCTAGGTTAGAAAAAGGTCAAGATGGTGTGGACAATGATCTCAAGAAAGATGATGACATCAAGTCTGAAGCGAAGGGTAAATTTTTCTATTTTCTTCTGTCTACTTTTTAGATATTAATTAGAAATTACAGGTCTCGGATAGTACGACTTTTTCCACTATTTTTATTTTATTTTATTTACTATTCACAAAATACGATATTTTTTATTTATTTTTGACAAAAATGAGACTTTTTTTATTATAAAATGCATCTTATTTCGATTTTCATAGTAATTTTAATTAATTAATATATTAATTAATTTTCATAGTAATTATAGTTAAATCTTTTCCTGTAAAGAGTTTTACTTTTTAGCGATTTTTTTAGGCATACAGCAAACTTTTGTTCTCACTTTTAAAAAAATTGTCAAATTGTAACAATTGGTATTAGTTTTGAATCAATTTTTTGTACTAAACCTTCATTTGCTATATTTTAATACATAAAAGCACTTTTTGTTCTACTTTGACAACCTATCTTACTGTGCTAAAAAGTGAAAATTGAAACAAATTTAAAGTTTCGTGAAATATTTTTCAAAATTTATTTTTTAATTACCTATGCTTAATTTAAGATTTTTATGAATTTTGAGAGTAACAGAATTTTCATAGTTCAGAAGAATCAGAATAGTTGGAGAATTTTATCCAAAGTAGTGAGAAAATATCAAATTTCTAGAAAATAATTAAGAAATTCTGATTTTTAGGTTCCTTTAAAAATAATGAAAATCTGAAACTTTCTTTTTTTTTATAAAACAAATAATTGAATTTTTGTACATAAATAATTGAATTCTCGAAAAACTTTCTGAAACTTCTGAAAATAATATTGAAAAAATAATAAGTTTACTAATAAATAATAAATGAAAATTATTAAAAATAATTGATTTAGATAAGAATTTTGGTTAAAAAGTCTTAGAAAGTAATTAGAAGAGTAATTAGTAAACAATTCTTAAAAATAATTAAATTTCAGAAAGTTTAAAATTTGATCTTTGAATAATTTTAATTAAAAATTCTAAAGAACATAGTTTTTTGAAAAATTTCAGTTCAAATTTTTTGAACAATAATTGGATTTTAAGTGAACTTTTATTATTAAATATCTACTTAAACTCTTCAAGAACAATATCAATATTATTAAAAATAATTGATTTACAAAAGCATTTTATCTAAAAATTCTAGAAAATAATTGATTTAGAGAAGAATTTTAATTAGAAATTCTAAAAAAATAATTGAATTTTGGAAGAATTGTTGTAAACAATTTTAGAAATAATTAAATTCTAAAAGGTTTAAAATTAAAATTTTTCAAAATTTGAATTTTTTGTAATTTTTATCAAATAATTAATTTAAAAAAGAATTTTAATTAGAATTTCTGTAAAACAATTGAATTTTGGAAGAATTGTAGTAAAAAAATTTAAAATATTAAATTTCAAAAGGTTTTAAATTAAAATTTGTGAATTTTTTATAATTTTAATTAAAAATTCTAAAGAACTTAGTTTTTTTAATTAAGTCTTTAGTTTTCGAAAAATTTTAAATTCAAGTTTGTTAATTTAGTTGATTTTTAAAAATATGAATTGAAAAAATTTTATTTTAGGCGAATGAACTTTCTTTGAATGAAATGAATTTTCTAGATTTAAGTAATTAAACTTTCCAGGAATCTTCTAAAAATTATTAAAAATAATTGATTTAGAGAAGAATTTTAGTTATAATTTCTAGAAAATAATTGGATTTTGGAGTAGCAATTTTATTTTTAAATATAATTAAATTTCAGAAGGTTTAAAATTTAAAATTTTTGAAAATTTAAAATTAAGAATATTTAAATATTTATTTAGAAAAATTATTAAACTTTATTTAATTTTTAAATTACAATAATTTAGTTAAAAATTCTAGATAAGAATTTGTGCCTTAAAGCCGATCCGAGGTCTTAGTAACACTTCTTTTATTTTTAAAAAAATTACCAACTTTTTTCCTCTTTTCAGAAAACGAAAAGGACGACAAATCAAACTCAACGAATGATGAATCGAAAAAAGATGGTGGTGCAAATCCCTGATAAATGGCCCTAACCACGAGTGACTCACGCTATTCTTATTTAATTTGAATCGACCTAAAGCGTAAATGATAAAAAAAAAAAGAAAAAAGAGAGTACCTGGTGAATGTGTGTATGTTTGTGTGTACGTGGCAAGTGAGAAGAGACGAGAAAAACAAGCTTCCGAGAAAAAAACCATTACGGCTCTCTTTTTATGATGTACAGTCTAAAAGAGATAATTTTTCTAAAAAAAAAAAAACAATTTTTCCAACGCACTGAAAAAAAAGGTCTGATTCGTGAATGTACAATGGAACAAAAGACTCTAATGTACAAGTTAAAAAAATAACCAACGATGCTCTTTTTATTTATTATTGTGAACAATTAGAAATTAGTATAAAGAGCGTTCTTTAGTGATTTTTTTTTGTATTTTTCGAATCAAATGTTGAAATCATTTGCTTTCCATCCCTTAGGTGAATTTGATTGAAGTCTGATATGTAATCTAATTATTATTATTTTTTTTTGTTTGACTAATTGCAAAGTCAATTTTTTTGTGGAATGAGGGGGGAGATTAATTTCTGATAGATCTCAATTTTTTCTTCTGTAAAGAATCGGATATTTAGATTTACAGATGTAGGACTTTTTTAAATGTTCATATGCAGATATCAATTTGCTGATAAATGTATAATTGCAAATATTATTTTTTTCTAAAAATTGTAAATTTCATTTATTATAATAATATTCATAAATATTAGTATTTTTTGTCGAGATTCATTGACAGATCTGTTTAATATGACTGAACCATTTATATGGGGTTGACGCGCGCAATTTTTTTTTTTTAATATCATCGATTATTTAATCGACAACAGATTGTTTAATTTTTTTTTGTAAATATAACGAAAAGTGATTTTTTTCGCGCAACTATTCAATTTTCTTTTTTTAAAATATAAATGTTTGCACATTGATTTTTTTTTTCATGTGTAAGAAGTATAATGTATTTGAGAGAATGTTAGATTTAAAAATGTCTGTCAATGAGTAAACATTTTTTTTTTGAGACTAGGTGTAGATTTTTCAAATGTACTGTAAGATTAAAGTTTTTATGTATACATTCTTCGTCTACTAATCCGATTCTCTCTCTCTCTCTCTCTTTAAGTGTAAAGTCGAGTTGAAAATTGATGTTTTCAATATATGTCCTACTTTTCATAATGAGTGTTTATTAAAAAAAAAAAAAAAAATTGAATGGAATATAGAAAAAGAAAGCTAATTATGTATTTGCTGTCAATATATAAAATCGGATTAGTATCATTCATTGGCGTGTAAGTGATTGGTCAAATGTAAGAGAAAATAACTTGTTATTAATTTAACTGTCATTGATCGTTCAAATTATTGCATACAGAAAATTATATAATTTATGCGTGAATTTATTTTTAATTAAATTTAAAATCAGGCATTGCATACTTATATGTCCTGCATTCATCAATCACTGTTTTTAAATATTTATAATAAAAAAAATAATAAAATTTACTACATAAGAATTTCTAATGTTTTTATTATAGTTTACGATTGTCGATGCAAAAGTTGGTTCAAGTTGGTTCAATGTTCTAATTTCGTGTTTAAAAAAATAAAAGAAAAAATGAAACTTTAGTAGAAGAATAAAGAATTTAATTTTCAATGTTTGCATCACAAAATTGTAATTTTTATTTAAATGCAACGCGTAATTGTTCAGAATGTTTAAAATTAAATTCTGTGTCCTTCAACCAAAAAGAAATTTAAAATTTTATTTTATTTTTTCCATTTTAAATACGAAATAATCAGGCCTTGGATTTTAAGACTTTTTTCGACTTTTCTTCAAAATATGGCAACAAAATACCAAATTTTTGGTATAAAATACAACTTATTTCGATTTTTATAGCGTGAAAAATAACTGTAGCCAAATCTTTCAAAAAATATTTTTGAATAATTTTTCCAATTAAATTTTCGAAATAGACAATTCAAAAGATTTTGAATAATTGAAATTTTGTAAAATTCAATTGAAAATAATTGACTTCTTTCAAGTATTTTATTACAATTTTTGAAAATCAACCTTTGAAGATATTTAATTGCAAATTTTAAAAATGATTGAATTCTCAAAGATTTTAATGAAAAATCTTCAAGTGTAAATTTAAGAATGAAAATTAATGAAAATTAGCTTCCAAAAATTTTATTAAAATAGTTTTGAAGAAAGTAATTCTTATAAAATTTTTTCTTATTATAATTTTTTAAAATTTAATTATTTGCAATATTTTCAATTAAATATTTTCGAAAATTCAAATACATACCAAAAATAATTGATTTATAAGAAGAATTTTAGTTAAAAAGTGTAGAAAATAATTAAATTTTGGAAGAGTTGTAATACAAATTTTTAGAAATAATAAAATTTCTAAAAATAATTGGAAACAATTGAGTTTTAGAAGAAGACAATTTTTAAAGACAATTTGAAGACAATTTTTTTTTAAGTAATTAAACTTTCCTTAAATTATCAAAAATGATTATTTTGGAAAAAAATTTTATAGTAAAAATTTTTAGAAATAATTAAATTTCAAAAGATTTTAAATTAAATTTTTTAAAATTTGAATATTTGTTGGTAATTTTGATTAAAAATTCTGAAGAACATAGTTTTTTACGTATAACTAAAATTTTTGAAAACTTTTAGTTAGTTGAAGTTTTAAATATATTTAGAAAAAAATGTAGAATTATGTAAAATAATTAAAAATTTTTCGAATAATCGAAATTTCTTAAAAATAATTTAATTTCAAAGCGAAAAATTTTTTTTAATTAAATTAACTTTCTTTTTTTTAAATAATTAAATTAAAATTCTAAAGAACTTTATTTTTTTCGGAAAATATTTTTTTTTGCTCCGAAAGTAAATAGAAAAAAATATTTTTTACCGAAAGTAAATCGAGGATTGAATTCATAAAATCAAATTGAAATGTGTTAATTAAATTATAAATTAAGTGAATAAAATTATCGTTCATTGTGAAAATTATGAATTAACAGTGTAAATATTTTTATTTTAAATATTTGTTTCTTCTTCTTCATTCTTTAATATTGACCAATCATAAAACGACAGCAGACGACGAATTGTTGTTTACAGCTGACAGACACAGACAGTCTCTTATTTATGGTGACAGCGTTTGGTATACATACGTGATAGAAAAACAATTACTTTACTTTTAAAAATGATAAGCAATGTGACTTTTTAGTTGAGAAGTAAATAAGTGTAGAGTTATGTAATTTTTATCGACAATCCTTATCTATTTTTAGCAGTAGAAGATTGAAACTAAGGAGGAATTTTTGTATTTATAACCTCACTTTTTTCTTTCATTCCGGGATTCCGCAAACGATTTTTCTTGCATTGTGAATTTATTTTTATATAAATTTTTGAAAAAATCTATTTTTATATAAAAGCCAAAAATCAAGTGTCTTCTCTTCTGTATTTTCACAAAATTCACGTGAAAATGAGGAAAATTGTTTTTATAATGAAACTAAGATTTTTATTGTTGAATCCACCACACATATCGAAATTCAAGTATATCTCTTAGTAAGAAATCTTCAATCCTTATTCTTTTTATAATAAATAGAAAATTGTTTTTTATTTCTTCAAGACTGATTCTCATATTTTCATCTCGTGTACAAAAATATAAAAAATGATTTCTCATCTTTCACATGTCATGACTCTGGCCAATGGAGCAATTGGTGTGAGTGTTTTAGCAATGCCGTTTTGTTTTAAGCAATGCGGTATTATTTTGGCTATTTTGTTACTTTTATTGAGTAGCATTCTCTCGAGGCTTGCTTGTCATTTTTTGCTAAAATCGGCCGTCATGTCAAGGCGGAGAAATTTTGAATTTCTTGCATTTCATGCATTTGGTCGTATGGGGAAATTTTTCGTTGAATTATTTATTATTGGATTTTTATTGGGCACGTGTATTGCATTTTTTGTTGTTGTCGGCGATTTGGGACCGGCAATAATTGGCAAAGTTATTGATAAAAATCCAGAAAATATTAGAACCAGTTTACTTATTACAACTGGTACGTTTATTGTTCTTCCACTTGGTCTCCTTAGAAATATTGACAGTCTCTCGAGTATTTCAACTGCGACTATTGTTTTTTATTTTTGTCTGGTTTTGAAGGTAATTATTCTTTTTTAATTCTTAAATTATTTGAAATTTAAATTCTTTTTTGTTTTGAGAAATTGTGTTTTTTAATTTTTTACTAATTTGATGAATTTTCAGGTGATGGGCGAATCGACTCAACATATTTTTGCTGGCGATTGGTATGAAAATGTATTTTTTTGGCGACCAGCTGGTATTCTGCAGTGTCTACCAATTTTTTCCATGGCTCTATTTTGTCAGACGCAATTATTTGAAATTTATGAGTCTGTGCCGAATGCTTCTTTGGAGAAAATGAATGAAATTGTGAGAGGTGCTTTAAATATTTGTACGATTGTCTACATATCTGTGGGATTATTCGGTTATATTGCTTGTTGTACACAGCCTTTTACTGGTAAGTCAAATTTATTCTGCATAAATTGTTTTACAGACCCCGGATAGTGAAGTTTTGCACTTTTTCCGTCTATTTTCGAAAATCTTTTAAAAAGACGACTTTTTTTTACTTATTTTCAAAAAATGCGACTTTCTAGACTTTATTTCAAATATTGCAACAAAATACCACTTTTCTAGTGTGAATTGTAACTTACTTCGTTTTTTATAATGTGAAAAAATATCAAATCTTTCAAAAAATATTTTCCAATTATTTTTTTAATATAATTAAATTTTTGAAATTTAATTGTTTTAATTTTGTTAAAAAGTTCTTAAATAATCGAATTTTTGTAAAATGTTATTGAATTGATTTTGTTTAAATTATTGTATTACAATTTTTGAGAATCGAATTTTGAAGAATTTTAATTGCAAAGTTTAGAAATAATTAAATTTTCAACAATTTTAATGAAAAATCTCCAAATCTAAATTAATGAAAATTAGCTTAAAAAAATTGTATTAAAATATTTTTTAAAAAAGAAATTCTTAAAACTTTTTTATTACTATTTTTCAAAGTTTTTTTCCACTTTTTTTAATATAAAATGCAACTTATTTCGATTTTTGTTTGGAGAAAAATAACTTTCGAAATTAAAAAGTTTTTAAATTAATGATATTTTATTGAAAATAAATTTCTTCTTAAGTATTTTAATAGAATTTTTGAAAACCAAATTTTGAAAAATTTTAATTACAAACTTTAAAAATAATTAAACTCTCAAGAATTTTGAGATAAAAAATCTTCAAATAAAAATTTAAAAATAAAAATTAATAAAAATAAGTTATTCTTAAAATTTGTTCTTAATTTCTTTGAATTCATTTAATTGTCAATATTTTTAATAACATTTCCCGAAAATTCTAATATCTATAAAAAAATTATTTAAACAATTTAATTTTTCAGAATTATTAAAATTTTAGAGAAAAATCAATCATTTTAAAAATTTGTAATGAAAAATTCTTCAAAAAAATCGATTCGTTTTTTAAAATTGTCCAAAAATTCTTTTACGAAATTCAATTATTATCGAAAAATTACATAACAATATTATTTTTTAAAACCTAATTCTTTGAATTTTTTATAATAATTTTTTAAATTTCAATAAAAAAGTAAATTGCAATTATTTAAAAATTTAGTTTCTTAAAATTATCACTAAACTTTAGGGAGAAATCGTGTAATTTTGTATTTGTAATTAAAATTTCTCAAAAATTTGATTATTTTTTAACATTTTCCAGAAGTTCAATTATTATTTTTTAAAATTTTTACTAAATTTTAATGGAAGTTTTCTAATTATATAAAATAAAAAATCTTTTGTATAAAATTAAAAATCTATTGTCTTTTAACAATTATTTTAATCCTATTTGAAAAACTAATTTTGAAAATTTTTGAATCTTAATTTTTTTAGGAAAAATTTTTCTTAGTTTTTAATTCAATATTTTTGATTATATAGTTTTTCTGTAATTTACTATAATTCACCTTCAAAATTTTAAAAAGTAAATCATGAATTACAGTCACCAATTATTGAAAAAATTGAATTTTTGTATTTAAATAATGAAACTCTTTGGAAATTTTCTTGAATATTTCAAAAATAATTAAGAGAAGAAGTTTAGTTAAATAATTCTAGACAATATTTAATTTTGGAAGGATTTCAGTTGTAAATTTAAAAAAAAGTAATTAAATTTCAGAAAGGTTCGAAATTTTTATTCCTGTGTTAAAAATAAATAACTATTCAAATAGTTATTTAACAAAATCATTGAATTTTTTTTAAATTTTTGAATAATTGAATTTTAAAATTAGCGAAAGGCAGGAAATTTTTGTGATAGTATTGAATAAAATAAATTACTTTTTCGATTTTTTTCTGTTACTTTTTCTGCTCCTTAATATCGATCCAAGGTTTGATTTTGTAATTTTTGATAATAAAAATAATAATTCTATTTGTAAATTTAAATTTAAATAGTTTAAATATTAATTTTATATTGTTGCAATGATTTTTATATTTTTTTTATTTTTTTTATTCTTATATTTTTTATGATTTTTAATATTTTTTTTTATTCTTATATTTTTTTTAATTTTTAATATTTCATTTATAATATGATTTAAATATCGTTTTAAAAAATCATCATATTAAAACAATATATTTTTTCTTTTCCAGGAAACATTCTGATGAGTTTTGAACCGAGTCCCTCGTCGGAGGTTATCAAACTATTCTTCGTGTTCTCCGTTGCCTTCAGTTTTCCGCTAGTCATTTTTCCCTGCAGGGCGAGTCTGAATTCTCTTCTTTTCCGTCGAGTAAGAATCGATTAATTTTTCGATCTCCACGATTATTTGAAATTTATTTTCAATTGTAATGAATTTTTTTCAGGCATATCTACACGAATCGACAAGTAGTTATATGCCGGAGACAAGATTCAGATTTCTCACTTTTGTCATTGTTTCCATTTCATTAATCATGGGAATTCTGATTCCGAACATTGAGTTTGTACTCGGAATAGTGGGCGCAACGATTGGAGTTATGATTTGTCTCATTTTCCCTGCGACATTCTTTATTTCCATAAGCAGTAAAAATACGAATGAGAGACTTCTGGCTCAGGTATTTTTTCTTTTGTTTCCTCATAAAAAATATTTGTATTTATAATAAAAAAAACTAATACCTTCTCATATGATGAGAATGTAATAAAAAATATTTTGTATTTATTTTGTACATATATAAAGAAAAAAGAAACCAATTGGGAATTTTTTTCAGATCATTGCATTTGTTGGACTTTTAATTATGATTTTGGGCACTTACGTCAATTTACATGCGAATGGTGAATCTCTCAATCCACGAGTCATAATCACGACGGACAAATCTGTTGATCAGATTAATAACATACCGTTTAATTTAATGAAAGAAGATGTTCCTCTAATTCCGAAAATTCCGAGGAAAACGAATTTTCTGGCAAATGAGAAAGGTGAGTGTTTTATCTTCTTTTTTGTTTTTTCTTTTCGAAATTAATTGTTTACGTTTCCAGATTCGAACGCAATACCAGAGTGGAAGGTTCCTAAAGATATTCCAGCAGACATTCCTAAAGAAAAAATAATTCCAAAAGTTAAATCTCCAATAGTCGAGAAAGCGGTGATAAAATCTCCCTCGGAAACAAATAAACTCGATAAAATTATTGACAATTCTGTCAAAGAACCAAAAGTAAAGTACAAAATTGCAGAAGATGTAAAAGAAGAAAATTTGGTAATTCCAAAGGAAGATGATAAAAAAATTCCAGAAGTGAAGGACAAGAATATTGAAGTACAAAAAGGGGAGAATTTGATTCACTCCGACGCGATTAAAAAAGAAGAATCGGAATTGGCAGCTGCTGGAGAATTGTCAAATTTGGATGTCGCCCAGAGGCACGAGGAGTTGAAGAGAACTTTGGAAAAGTACAAAAAAGAGCAGCGGGAAATGATGAAGGAGCAGAAGGAAATTTTGAAGGACATTAAGGAGCAGCAGTTGGAGTTGCAAAAGCAGAAGAAGGAACAAATTGCGAAAGTTCCGGAAGAAGAGAAGAAGAGCGATCAAATAAAGGAAGTGGAACTAAAAACGAATATTGTACTCGACAACAAAAATAATACGATTCAAAAGTCTTCCGACAAGGAGGAAACGAAAGAAGAGAAGAAACCCGAAGAAATAAAAGCGGACCTAAAAGAACAACCCGAGGCTAAAGAGGAAATTGCTAAAGAGAAAAAGAAGATACCTGACCAAATTGAAGAGAAAATATCGACAAATAATATCGACAAAAAATCACAAATTCCAGAAGAACCAAAAAAACCAATTATCGTCGAAACAGACAAAAATTCTCCATTAAAAATATCTTCCGATCACATTTTAAACGCTTTAACAAAAAAAGTCGTCAACGTAATAAAAGAAGACATCGATAACAAGAAGAAAAATCACACAATCACCAAGAAGGAGACAAACGAAAACGAACTCAATAAATTACCAGAATACTCCCTGCCAATTGCGCTAAAAATGAATAATCAAACAAGAAGTTATAACGACTCGGAAAAAGTGGCAGATGACAAGAAAAAAGAATATTCAGCGATCGGTAGAGATATTCTAGAAAATCACGAAAGAGAAAAACGTGATATTAACGAAACGATGAAAAATGTGCAAAATCAGACAAAAATTACTGAGAGTGAAAAAATTTGCGAGAAGGAGAAAATTTTGGACCACGAGAATATTAAGGAGGACCCTTTAAAATCAGTTGGTATTAAAGATTCTCTTATTGTGACAAATAGTTATTTATCGGAACAAAGTTTCACCGATAAAATTTCTATTCAATCGCATTTAGATGTAGGTGAGAAAATTGTTAAATTAAATAAGAGAGATTTAAAATATATCAAGTTAGATGAACATGAAATATAAATGTCTATTAAAAAAAAGAGTGTAAATTTATCTACAGACAAATGTGTACGCTTAACATGAATATGTAAATATAATACGTGTGATATTTTGTTCTTTATAATATTCATATCACAAAAAAGTTCGAATTTGAGAATTTACTGAAAAAATGGTCGAAAAAAAAGTATTATTTTTGCATTTCAATATTTGTAAAATGAATGTATATGATATTAAAAATGTTAAGACGGTGTAATAGAAGAATGTTACTGTTTGTATTTAAAACGTTTTGAAGAATATATTGTATATTTTTTTGACTGTATTTTATATGTGATTTTTGTATTTTTAGATTTAATTTTAGAATTTTTTTTATTTTAGACTAAATTTCGGAATTTTTAGTTTTCTGAAGTTTAGTCATCGTTTAGTGTCTGTTAATTATCGAAAACTGTTAATTATCGTTTTTAGAGATCAAAATGTTACCGAAAACTATTTTTTCAATTTTCCAGAGATGAAAATTTACCTCGTGGACCGCGGAAGTAAAAAATATACTCAGGATACTTTTAACCTAAAAAAATCGTTTTTTTTATTTTTGCGAAAAACGACGTTTTTCGTTAGCGTCGATGCTAAATTCAGGGGCCTCGTTTATTAATAATAATAAGTAATTGGATTTATTATTTACTTGAAGCGAAATTGTTCTCGTATTTTGAAAAATCGCGCTTGCCTTCAGTACTACCAATTATTTTTATTTTCTATTGGCAACAAGTGAGTATTTATACGCAAGTTCGCGCGCTTTTGCACGCATTTTCTTGTCTTTTTCTGTGACGTTTATTTATTGTTTTCAAGGCAAAACTACTACTTAAATTAACTAAAAGTCATAAAAGTGTTTTTTAACAATTCCAATGAGTATTTTGTAAACGGTGTATTTTTTTCTGAGTGTTTTTTAAGACAAATTAGAGAATTTCAATTTTTATAACCTCTAAAAATGGGTAAGTATTCTTAATATTCGATAAAAACGTCTCATTTTTGTATTAATTGTTAATGTTAAGAACTATTTTTAAAGACAATTGTCAGTAAATTATGTTAAAGATTTTATTGGCAATTTTTACTTATTTCAATTTTTAGTATTTTATAGTAATAAACTAACTAAATAGTAATTCTATTATTCTATTAGTAGGTAATTTCCAGTAGCTAAAAACCTTTGTATTTTTGGTTTGTTTACATCACTATGTTTATTTATTCAATTTACATTCAGTGACGTTTTTAGTACTTATTATCAATTGTCATTAGGCAAATAATGTCAATTTATTTTACGACTAATTTCGTTATGTATTATTCATTATTAATTCCATACATTTATATATTTTTTTCACGTATTAATAATTGTTTTCACGTACTTAATTTTAGGAAAAATTCCCTTTATGATTTAGATAGTTTGGTTATAATTTTCTCGATTAATTTTAGCGATGAACGTGAGGGAATGGACCAGAGAACATTTTATGGCGAATCAATTGGATTGTAAACAGCTTCTTGAAAATTCAGATGCACTGCAGGAAATACCGTGTTTAAACAGTTTATCCTTGGATTATTTTAAAGAAGGACAACTGGTCAAGTTTCGTGGAATGATTCAAGATATTTTCAATCCGGAGTATTATTATGAAAATTACGAAGTTAAAGACACCAATACTGGGGCATCGTCAATTCGAAGTGGAATGTTTATGGATTTAACACAATGTTCGGTAACAAATTAATTTTCTAAGAAAATTTCTTGTAAAAAATTGTGTTTATTTTTTTGTTTGGTTAAAAAAATTGTAATTATTTTGTTTTTTGATAAAAAAAATTGTTTTTAAATGAAATTGCCATCAAGGGAATCATCAAACAGTCCCGTTGAATATTATCGACGTTCCGGACATGATGAGTGGCAGACAGTAAAAAATTAGAGTAGTTACAGGTGTGAGATACTTTAAGCATAGTCTATCTCATGTATGATGCTGCTCACAATTTTTCAAATTAATATTAACATTCTTTAATTTCTCATTTTTTTCTGTTTCGTATTTTCCTGTTTTATATTTTAATGATGAATATTTTAATAATTTGTTTATTTAATCCACTATTTCAGTTTTTCGTCCTGAACATTGTCGAACCACACATTTTTGTCTATTTAATCAGGGTTGCCATAGGTCAGGGAAATCAGGGAAAAGTCAGGAATTTTTATTAAAAGTACTGGTAAAAATTAAGTGTTTAGAATTTATAAGAAAATTCTGAATTTTGGTGTTTTTGTTTGTCTCATAAACTATAAAATTACCACGAATTCTAAAAAAACCTTAAATTTTTTCTATTTCTACCAATAATTTATTTTAAATAACTTAATTTCATTGAAGGACTGCCATAAAGTTATATTATTACTTATAAATCATTTAATAAAGTATTTTTTTGAAAAATTTTAATTTTAATTTTGTTGAAATTAGTTTCAATTTTAAAATTTTGAACGCAATTATTTGAAAGAATTTAACTATCTTAATAAACATTAAAATTCTATCCAGAAATTCAATTATTTTCAAAAATTTTTTAAAAATTCTCGTCAACTTTTTAATTATCTTTATACATAGCAAAATTCTTCGCCAAAATTCAATTATATTCAGGAATTTTTATAATATTTATGGCAAAATTTCAATTATTTTCAAAATTTTTCTTAATTCAATGATTTTCAATATTCTACTATTTTAATAAAATTTCTCAAAAGAATTCAATTATTTAAAAACAATTTTGACAAAGTTCTATAAACGAATATTAAATTATCTTCTAAAATAATGAAAATTTCACAGGAATTCAATTATTAAAAATAGAATTTGCATTCTTTTTTTCGAAAAAAATCAATTGTTGTAAACTTTTTTATAAAATTCTTCGCAATAATTCAATTATTTGCATAAATAATAAAACTCATTGCAAAATTTCAATTATTTTTAATACAATTTTAATCAAATTCCTCAAAAAAAATGTAATTATTAATAAAAATTTTATTAAAATTCGTCGAAAGAATTCAATTATTTAAAAATTTGTTAATAAAATTCTATATATAAGAATTAAACTTTAAGAAACATTAATTTATTTATTCAATAAATTATTTACATTTGTATTTAAATAATTGAATTCTCGTTCGAATTTTCTATTAAAAATTAATTCCATATAAAGTTTTAGAGTTCAGTTTGGAGAAGTTATTAATAATTGCAATTTTTAGAAATAATTGAATTTTGTAAAGGTTTCAAATTAAAATCTTTGAAAATTTGAATTTTTCATACTTTTAATTAAGAATTCTATGGAACTAATTTTTTTCAAAAAGCTTAATCGCAATTTTTTAAAATTATTTCAAGTTTTTATTTTCTAATGTATATTTAATTGTAGAATTTCCGAATAATCGAAATTTCACGTAAAACTGAATTGTAAACAAATGAATTTGAAAATTCTCAAAAGAACTTTATCATAAATTATTAGAATTTTATTTAAAAATTTTAGAAAATAATAAATGAATTGAAACGATGAAAATAATTTTTAAGAAGTTACAGTAACAATATTTTTATATTATAATATAAAATAATGATTTTATCACTCAGTCACTTTTAATTGTTATAAAACATGAAGAAATGGATCACTTCGAGTCGAAGACTCGGAGTGATCTATTTCTTCATGTTTTATAATAATTCTATTCATATTCTTTCAAGTTATTGAATTTCAAAAGGTTTAAATTTGAAATTTTTGAAATCTTTTTTTCTATGAGAAAATAATAATGATTAAAAAAGAAATTAAGTTATTGATATTTTCGAATAATTTTACAATTAAAGAAATTCGTAAATAAGTGCGATAGAATATTTTTTTGAGTACCTAATCATTTTTAAAGTGAATCAGAATATTTTTTATTGTCAGGGAAAGAGTGAAAATCAGTCAGAAAAAAGTCTGGAAATCAGGGAAAAGAAAATTACATTTTTGTGGCAACCCTGTCAATATTTTAATTTCATATTTTAGTACCTAATTATTTTAATAATTTTGATTTAATCCACTATTTCAGGCTTTTTTTTACTTCTTAACTTTCCAGGAATTGTTCTCTTATTTTAATATATATTTTATTTATACATTTATATATTGTATTTTTTATTATTGTAAATCTTTTGTAAATCTATTTATTTTCTACTGAAAAATTTAGAAACTCGACGTCCAATTCTTTAAGGTATTTGTCGCGTAAATTCGTTTTCGTCAGATTTTTTTTAAATTTCACATAATTATTCTTTGGATATTTATCTACAAAATAAGGCCTATTAAAATAAAATTGACCGTCTGTAAGTCTCAAAAAATGAAATCAAAGTTTCGATTTTTAACATGTAAGGTATAGGAAAACCATATGAAAACCACAGATTTTTAATTTTTGCACTTATACTAATCGTCAGATTTTTTAGAAAAACTAAAGTTTCATTTATTGAACCAAAATGAACTTTTATAAAAAAAATTAAAATTTTTCACCGTCTTGTTTAAAAGATATTTAACGTCAAACTTGAAAAATTATTTTAACAATTACTGTAAATGACAGGTGAATTCGTAAACGTGGCAATAGCGCTTGTTAAATACTACAGCTTGCCTGCTACTTTTGGCGCGAAATTTTAAAGACGGCCATACGCCAAACTTGCGACGTTGCCACGATCGTTTTTCATGCGAGAGGTTATGAATATACATTGAGAACATCTGTATGTCAAACTGTACGTCCGCAAAAGTTTTTCGGAAACTCGCATTCATAATCGTTTCATAAGTACAGTCAACGGATACAAACTTTTGACAGTGACCAGTCGCGCGACAAATACCTTAATCACAATAATTATAATGAAAATCGTTGAACGGAAAATTTAACAGGATTTGTTATTTCAGCCCCAGGAGCAACTCTCGTTAAATTCGCCGAATAACAAACACTCGGAACGTCAACCTTTTTTTGTCATATCGGTTCCTGGATTAAATGACTGGGCGAACAGAAAATCATCTCTTATCGATATTAGCACTGCGGTGAAGAATGTGAATAAAAGATCACACGAAACAACAGAAGAGGAATTAATGGATTGTTCAGAACCCACGAAAAAGAAGGAGAAAACATCAGATTCGTGCGATAGTGCGATGGAAAGTTCGAAAAGTAATCAATCAACATCTGGAATTGTGTCCATGGAGCATATATTAAATTTCCCGATTCCAAATCAAGATGGAAAAGCTTGTATTGTTAAGGTAAATTTTAAAGGTTAATTAAAATAAAATTCTATGGTGGTAAATATTTTTAAATAATTGCATTTTTTTCTTTTCTAGGTTTATGAAAATGATGAGATACATAAATTGAATGATGTGATTGACATTATTGGGTTTTTGTCTCTCGATCCAGCTCAATGTGTGTCGGATAATGGTGACGAAAGCATGGACGATATGGAAGTACAAACTCACAATCCTCCTGTTTCCATGGTTCCACGTTTGCATGCGATAAAAGTTGTGCCACTGAAGGAAAATATAATTAGCCGAGATCCAGTAATTATGTCAAAGGCCGAATTAATTCGAAGCGATCTGCAAATGTTTTTGAGCAAACTTCTTTTTGATGATACGCTTGCAGCGGATTATTTAATTTGTCACCTAATTTCTTCAATGTCAGTTTCTATTTACTTTGGTTTCTTTTTAACTTTTTCAATAATTTAGTTTACTAAATTTCGAATTGACAAATTTTTGTTAAGTTAGAAATATTTTTATTCTTTGAATTGTTGATGATAAACGTTGTGAACTTCACACGTCTTTCTTTTTTATTTTTATTTACTTTTGAATTGACTTTGAATATTTTGATATTTTTTGATTTAATTTGATTTAATTTGATTTAATTTGAATTGAATTGAAAGTTGGGATATTTTGTGTTACAGATACATGAGAAAAGATTTTCTCTGCCTTGGAAGTTTTCCCATCAATATTACCAAATTTCCATTGGAAAAATATAAAGACTTTTCGAAAGAACTTTACGGTGTGCTAACGCAATTGATACCGAAAAGTCACTTCGTGGAACTGACTCTGGAAAATCTCAACGATATGAGTTTTACTCCAAAGTAAGGGATTTTCTTTTTTATGTTAAAATTTTTCTTTTTTTGAACAAATTATTTCTCACTTAATTAACGTTTACAAATTGATTTAAACTAATTTGCAAAATTTTTTTTGTTTAAAGGAAGGATTATCAATGTAACAGACTGACAAGTGGTGTTTTACAATTAAGTAACAATACTCATCTTGTGATTGATGAAACTCATTTGACTTTGGGTCAAGTGACTCCTTGTGGGAGGAAAAATTACGATACACTGAATAAACTTGTTCAGTATCAAAAGATATCGTATGATTTTCAGTTTTACATGGTGGATTACGAAACGGACATTCCAGTTTTAATTTTATCAGAGACTAAATCTTTTATACCAGTAAAAAAGTTTAATTTAATCAGTTCTTTATTAAGATTTTCTCTCTTTTTTTTGTCTTCATTTATACATTAAAATTATTTTTTTTTCAGTGTCCCACCCAAGTGCCTCTGAAAGTTGATGACGAAACGGTTAACGTGTATCCACAAGTGCTGGAGGCTGCTAAACAATATTTAAAAGACGAGACAAGATTGGAAAATATTCGACAGTATTTGAATATTTTAAGGCATGGCAATTTTGAATTTAATGACCAAATGACGAAGGTAAATATTCTGTTTTTTTCTGATTGTTATTATTTTAATTAAATTACAGACTTCGCACTTATCTACTAAAACCTACTATTTACTAAATTTTTTTCGTTATGCTACTATTTGGGTACTTTTTTAGATTTCAGCCACTAAACGCTACTATTTCTGTTTATTTCAAGAATTTCCATTACTTTAAATTCGTTAATACTAGAAATCAAAAAACTATTCTCAAAAATTATAATCAAATTCTTTAAAACGATTCAATTATTTTCAAAACATATTCGAACTTCAATTATTTTCAATATCCAGTATTTTCATAAAATTTCACAAAAGAATTAAATTATTTTTTAAAAAATTGATAAAATTCATCCAAAATTTAATTATTTTCATAAATAATAAAATTTCCACAGGAATTCAATTAATTTAGAATAGCATTTTCAAAAAAATTTCGAAAAAATCAATTATTTAACCAATTTTTATACAATTCTTCACAATAATTCAATTACTTTCACCCAATAATAATATTTTTCATGGAAATTTATTTTTTTTTTTAAATTTTTGATAAAATTCTAAGCAAAAATTAAATTATTTTTATAAATAATAAAACTCATCGAAGAATTTCAATTGTTTTTAATACTATTTTAAATTAATTAATTGAAAAATTCATTTATTTTCACAAAGAACGTTTTCTACAAAAATTCAGATATTTAAAGTAAAATTTTCATAATATTTATTATATTTCGTAAAAATTAATTATTTGAAACAATGTTTATAAAATTCTTATAAAAAATTCAATTATTTTCAAAAATAATAAAATTTTTCAAAAAAATTCAATTCTTTTTAAACATTTAAATAAAATTTTTCGCAATAATTCAATTATTTTTATAAATAATAAAATTCATGGCAGGATTTCAATTACTTTCAATATAATTTTACAGGAATTGCTCAAAAAATGTAATTATTCTTAAAAATTCAATTTCAATTCCTCGAAAAAAGCAATTATTTAAAAAAATATTTTTTTAAAATTCTTTGGAAGAATTCAATTATATCGATAAATAACAAAATTATTCCCGAAAATTTAATTATCTTGAGGCATTTTAATCAAATTCTTTGCAAAATTTAATTATTTTCATAAATAACAATATTCATCAGAAGAAATCAATTATTTTTAAAAGTAATAAATTTCTTCTTGAAAATTCAGTTATTTAAAAAAAATTCAAATAAAATCTTTCGCAGGAATTTAATTATTTTCGTATATAATAAAATTTTTTCCAGAAATTGAGTTATTTTTGAAAATTTTTTATAAAATTCTTAGCAACTATTCAATTATTTTTATAAATAATAAAATTCATCGCAGGATTTCAATTATTTTATAATACAATTTTACAGAAATTGCTCAAAAAATGTAATGCTTAAAATTTAATTTCAATTTTTCGAAAAAATCAATTATTATTTAAAAAATGTTTTTTTTTTTAATTCTTTGGAAGAATTCAATTATTTACAAAAATATTAAAATTTTTCACAGGAATTCAATTATTTTCAAATATTTTAATAAAATTGTTCGAATGAAATCAATTATGTCGATAAATAAGAAAATGATTCCCTAAAATTCAATTATTTTGAGGCATTTTATTAAATTCTTTACAAAATTCAATTATTTCCAAAAATAATAATATTCATCACAGGAATTCAATTATTTTTAAAAGCAATAAATATCTTCTTGGAAATTCAATTATTTAAAAAAATTCTAATAAAATCGTTCGCAAAAATTCAATTATTTTAAAAAATTCTAATAAAATCGTTCACAAGAATTAGATTATTTTAAAAAAATTGAAATAAAATCGTTCGCAAAAATCCAATTATTTTCAAAAAAATTTAATAAAATACCACACACACACATTTAATTATTGCCAAAAATTTTAATAGAATTCTTTGTAAAATTTAATTATTTTTAAAAACTTTTCGCACATCAATCTATTATTTTCATAAAATTTCCAAACAGAATTCAATTATTTGAAAAATTCTATGTAAGAATCTTTGTAAGAATTACAATTTTTTTCATGAATAATAAAAATTTCTCAGGAGTTCAATTATTTAAATTTAAATTAGAATTTGCATCAAATTAGTCGAAGGAAATCAATTATTTAAAAATTTTTATAAAATTCTTCACAAGAATTTAATTATTTTTATAAACATTTAAATTCTTTCATGAATAATAAAATTCTTTGCAGAAATTCAATTTATTAGCAGGATAAGAAAGAAGTAAATTTTTTTGCTGAAAATTAGGAAAAAGTCAGGAAAATAAAATATAGAATGGAATTTTTGTCAGTTTTGTCAAGTGTTTAAAACGAGTTTTTTTGGTCGTCAATTTTAATTTTTCGATAGCTACTTTTTTACTACTTTTTTTTTTTAGTTTGAAAGATACTTTTTAAAAGTTAATTACCGAGTGCGAAGTCTGAAATTATATTGTAAGAATAATTCTAATTTTGATTTTTCTTCAACAGATTATACAGGAGGATTTCGTGAAAATGAGACAGGTAAATAAATCTTTTACAGGTGATAATTTACATACACTGATGGTTTTTGCAAGACTCATGGCATTGTCTTATGGGAAAAATACTTTAACCTCGGATATATGGAAAAAGACTTTTGAATTTGAAGTAGAACGAATTGGCAGGATTCCAAAACGTAATGAACACTGAAAGTCATTGATTGATATTTTAAATTAAAAAAAAAAAAAGAAAAAGATATTAACAACTGGTGATATTTGGAAAGAAAATCAAGAAAATATAAATTTATCCCCCGTTGAATAGTTCTGCTTGGCGGAATAAAAATAAGAAAGTAAAATGATCTTGAATATTTTGTCTATTTTTTTTATAGTTAGAGTTCGTCACGTGTGAATAGCTTTTTTTTTTAATTGTATACCGAGTATTATAGTCGTTAATTATTATTATTCTTAATTTAATAACTTTTTGTACGATTTTGTAAATAATGTACCAAAAAAGAAAATTGACGGAAAATGAAAGTCAAGATAAATATTGTGAATAAGAGATTTATTTGTGTCTTTACATGATCGGTTTTCTTTCTTTTTTTTTATTTACATGAGTAAATTACTAGCTTTTAACAATAGTACATGATCAATAAATCTTAAAGCTACTACTTTACAGTGTATGGCTATGTATTTTTCTTGTCGAGAATATATCGAGAAGAATTACTAGTCCATTTGTAAGTACAATTATTTTTTTCTCTTCGATACGTTTCCAGTATTGGAAATTCGTTCGAGAATAAATTATTATTTGAAAAGGAAAAATAAAATGAAAAAAATAAGACGAAAGTAAAGATTGAAGGAATGGCTTTACGATTGTTTTCACAATCGATGTAATATTTTAAATGCATAATATTTACAAAAATGTTGAAAAATTTTTAACTAAATATTTTAAAATAAATTTAAAGAAGTTTAAATTAAAAATTTTTCAGTTTTCTTTCCAACTGTGGACGGAATCAATGTACAGATCCTTTTTATGTTTGTATAGAAGAGGCACGTAACTTTTTCGAAATTCGGATAATTTTCTTTATGAAACTTCTAGGATTTTTGAAGTTTTAGGATCCTATCTTTCAGATCTCAATTTGTTGATATTTTTTTTTTAATATTCTTTCTACAATTTGTTTTTCTTTAGTTTCTTGAAAATTGGTGGACAATATTCTTTTCGTCGGTTAATTTTTTCAAATGTGTTTGAATTAATTTTTTTTTTATTTTAGGAGAAAAAGTAAAATATTTTTATTTACTTTACGTTACATTTATTTTTTATTATTTTAACTCAAATAAAAAAATAATTTTTTTATTCTTCTAAAAATTAGTGGACAATATTTTTCTCTTCGGTTAATTTTCGAATGTTTTCGAATTATTTTTTTTATTTCATGAGAAAATGTAAACAATTATTTTTAAGTATTTCTTATTAATCATTCTTTACTGTTTTAACTGAAATAAAAAAATTGTCACTAAATTTTAAGAGAAAAAATAAAAAATTGTGTATTTTTTTGTGTTTTTCAATTATTGGTGAAAAATAAAAAATAAATATAAATAATTCTTTTCGGTTGATTTTCGAAAATTATTTTTATTCTATGAAGAAAAGTAAACAAATATTTTTTCTTATTAATTATTATTGTTTATAATTTTTACTAAAATAAAGCAAATTGTCCTTAAATTTTGAAGAGAAAAAAATAATCTTTTTTTAGTTTTTTAAAAATTAGTGGGAAATTTTTTCTTTTCGGTTGATATTGGAATTCTTTTGATTTTTTCATTTTATTTGTGTAAATAATTTTGTAATAAATTATTATTATTTATTTTAATTATTATTTATTCCTTAAAAATTGCTTTAAAGGAAAAATTAGTTTTGGTTTCAAAAAGAATTTTTTTGATGAAGAAAAAAAAATTGTAAAGAGAAATTGATTTTGTCTTTTTGAATACGAGTCTAAAGGGATTATCGCGAATAAGTTTTTGATATTAGGGCGAATAATTATGGAATTTCGCAAAAGTTGACTTTTAGGCTCGCGTGTGTCCGGTTTCATCAAGATAATTAGCTTCCAAAACCCTTTGAATTGTGTTTGAATCTTTAATTTTGCTGTATCGATCCTCGCGATCCTTTTGAAGAAGTTCCAAACCCTTTTTCGCTGCTTGGGTGTACCTTTTTGAAAGGGAGACCTCGCCCTTTGCCCCTGGAATGTGTCCCGTGTACCCGACAATTGGAGGTCTTTCCGGTGACACGTAATGATCTGATAGAAAGAGAAAAAATTATTTTTCAGGTATGTATAAGAAAACTCCACATTTTTTTTTTTAATAGAAAAACTCTAACATGTTTTGAAAAATGAAACTAATTTTTAATTACAATTCTTATTTGTTTTTGTTATTTAGTGAAAGTAATAATTGAGATTAAAAATAATTTTCAATTCTAATTTTTGTTTCAATATTTATTAAAAATAATTTTCAATTCTAATTTTTGTTTTAGTATTTATTAAAAATAATTTATATTGAAAATAATTTTCAATTACAATTTTCGTTTTATTTTTTATGAAAAATAATAATTTGGTATAAGAATAGTTGATGTTAGAAATAATTTTCGATTACAATTTTTATTTTATTATTAATTTATTAAAAATAAAAAAATAATTTATATTAAAAATAATTTTCAATTATAATTTTTATTTTTTATTAAGAATAAAAATTTGATATGAGAACAATTGATATTAGAAATAATTTCCAATAACAATTAAAAATAATTTTTAATTTTAATTTTTTTCATTATTTATGGAAAATAAAAATTTGATGTAAAAAATAAATAATTGATATTATTAAAAATAATTTTCATATGAATAAAATTTCTATTTGTTTGATTAATTATTGACAAAAAAAATTTGATATTATTTTCAATTACAATTTTTATCCGTATTAATATTTATTGAAAATTGAATAGAATTGATATTGACATAAAAAGTAATTTTCAAATACAATTTTTATCTGTTTTTATTGTTGATTGAAAATGAAAATTGAATAATTATAAAAATTACTGATATTAAAAATAACTTTCAAATTGTAATTTTTATTTGTTTTATTGTTTATATAGAAAATAATTGATTCTTTTAGAACTGAAGTAAATAAATTAAATAACGAAATAATTAATTATTTTATTTATAAAAATAATAAATGAATTACCCACGAGAAAAAGTTTTTGAGAATGATACCGAAAATTTCAATTGTAATTTTTATTTTTAGTAAAAAAACAATTTAGCAAAAATGAAAATAAAAAATTCTTGGAGACTCCTGAGAATTTTTCGTTATCAGACAGGCTTCACAGTCTGTCCCCTATTTCCCTAAAAGTCCCCTTTTTTTAATTTTGGCCCCTAAACGTACCCTATTTTCAAAATTTACCCTAAATTTCCCCTATTTTTTTCTTTTATCTTTTAATGATGAATTCACACCAAATTTAGCTTCGTAAATTATGAAAACTGACACAAATTCTAATACAAAACCTTCAAAAAGATTTTCTATTTCTGACAAGAATGAATTTTTTAATATTATTTAATTATTATAAAAGTTTTAATGCAATTATCTTGATAAATAACAAAATTCTTCACAGAAATTCAATAATTTTTAGGAATTTTAATAAAATTCTTTACAAAATCCAATTATTTTCATAAGTTACAACATTCATCCCAAGAATTCAATTATTTTCAAAAGTAATGAAATTCTTCGAAGAAATTCAATTATTTTTATAAAATTTCCACGAATATCTCGTCAAGAATTTAATTATCTTTACAAATAGCAAAATTTTTCGCCAAAAATTCAATTATTTTCAAAAATTTATAAAAATCTTTGCAAAACTTCAATTACTTTCAAAAATTTTTTGCAATTCAATAATTTTCAATATTTACTATTTTCATAAAATTTATCAACAGATTTAATTATAGAAAAAATTTGTTGATACAATTCTACGAAAAAATTCAATTAATTTCATAAATAATAAAATTTCATTTACGAATTAAATTATTTTCATCGCAGAATTTCAAATACGTTTAATACAATAATTTTAAATGAATTCCTTGAAAAATGCAATTATTATTAAAAATTTTATTAAAACTTGAGGAAAGAATTCAGTTTTAAGAAACATTCAATATTCAAATAAAACCATAAAATTCGTTGCAATAATTCAAATATTTTCATAAATAACATTTAATTCGTCGCAGAAATTCAATTATTTTTAAAAATTTTGATAAAATTTGATGCAAGAATTCAATTACTTTCATAAATAATTGAATTTTTACAGAAATTCAATTATTTAAAAAGTTTTTTTCAAAATATTCTTAAGAATTCAATTATTTTTACAAATTATAAAAATCTCAGAAATTCAATTAGTTTTAAAAATTTTAATAAAATTCTATGTGAAAATTCAATTATTTTCATAATTCTTCCCATAAAATAAATTATTCTAAGGAATTTTAATAAAATTCTTTTCCAAAATTCAATTATTTTGATAAATATCAAAATTCATCAGAAGAATTAAATTCTTTTGATAAGTAATTAAATACTTTGCAGAAATTAAATTATTTTCAAATTTTTTTTTAAATTCTCGTCAAGAATTAAATTATTATTATAAATAGACAGGGAAATTCTTCTCAAGAATTAAATTATTGACAAAAATTTTTTAAAAATACTTCTCAAGAAGTCAATTATTTTTAAAAATATTAATAAAATTCTTCTCATGAATTCAATTGTTTTCAAAAATTATTATTTTAATTCTTCTCAGGAATTCAATTATTTTTTAAAAATTTAATAAAATTCTTAAAAAAGTTTTCAATTATTTTTAAAAATTGTTATAAAAGAATTCAATTATTTAAAAAAAATTTTTTGATAAAATTCTAAGCAAACTTCGCAATAATTCAATTATTTTCATAAATAATAACATTTTTTTTACAAAAATTCAATTATTTTCATGAATAATAAAATTCATCACAGAATTTCAATTATATTTAATACAATTTTAATTGAATTCCTCGAAAAATTTAATTATTCTTGAAAATTTTATTAAAATTTCTCGAAAAAATTCAAATTTGTTGATAAAATTCTTTATGATAATTTAGTTTCGAAAAACATTCATTTATTCAATAAATTATTTATTTTTGTATTTAAATAACTGAATTCTTGTCGAATTTTCCAATAAAAATTGATTTGAAAATTAATATTAGTTAAAATTTTAGATATTAATTGAATATTAAAAGCATTATAGCATGGATTTTTAAAAATAATTGATAATTGAATTCTTTTGAAAAATTTTAATAAAGTTTTTGGAAAATAATTACATTTTTCGAAGAATTTACTTAAAATTGTATTAAAAATAATTTAAATCCTGTGAAGAATTTTATTAATTTATGAAAGTAATTGAATTCTTGCAATGAATTTCTTCAAATTTTTTTTTAAATAATTGAAATAATGTAAAGAATCTTATTATTTATGAAAATAATTGAATTTCTGCATCGAATTTTCTTACATTTTTTTTAAAATAATTGAATTCTTTCGAGAACTTTTATTAAAAAAGTAGATTTTGCGAATATTTGAATTTCAACGAAGAATTTCATTATATTCGTGAAATGTAATTAAATTCTTACAAAAAAATTAAGAGAATAATTCCATTTTTCTAGGAATTTACTTTAAACTGTATTAAAAATAATTGAAACCATGTGAAGAATTTTATTATTTATGAAAATAATTGAATTCTTGCTTAGAATTTTATTATAATTTTTGTAAATAATTTAATTTTTTTTTGAAAAATTTTATGGAAATTAAAATTTTTATAAAACATGAAGATATCAATCACTCCGAGTCTTCGACTCGGAGTAATTGATATCTTCATGTTTTATAATAATATTTTTATAAGTTGTTTAATTTTAAAAATGTTTGAAGAATTTTAATTCCTATGGAAAAATAATAATTAAATACTTATTTAAAAATTTAGTTATTGATGTTTGCGAATAAATGAATAATTTTCTAATTTAAGAAATTCGTAAGTAAATGTAATAGAATGTTTTTTTGAGTATCTATAATAATTTTTAGAGTGAATCAGAATATTCTTTATGGTCAGGGAAAAAGTGAAAATTTTGTCTGGAAATCAGGGAAAAATAAAATTAAATATTTGTGGCAATCCTGTTGTGTTTGGAAATCAGGGAAAAATGAAGTTAAATTTTTGTGGCAACCCTGTATAAATAAATTATATTTTTATCTTTATTTAACCAAATTTTTATGGTCCCCCTAAAAGTCCCCTATTTCCCCTAAAATACTTTTTAGGGGCACTGTGAAGCCTGTTATTATCATTCTCGGGAATTTTTTCACGTGGCTGGGTAGTTAATATAAATATAAATAATTAATTAATAAGTAATAATAATTTTAATTGAAAATTAGGGAAAAAAATGTTAATTTAGAGAAGAGATGAGAGATAGAGACAGTCATACTTTTTAAAGAGTTACCAAAAAATTTTATCTCCTTGTGATGATGATGGTGATGACCGTGGTCTTTTTCAACCTGGACATTGTCCTGTCGCACTCGCGACAGGAGATTTCGTGGATCTCTTCTCTCCGCGTAAGCTCTCATTGAATCTCTTCGTGCTCGTAATTTACTTTGCGTATCACGCCAGTCTTTTGCGCCTTCCTCAACAGCCCTCATGAATGGTAGGCCATATTTGTTATTGAACCCAGGAATATACCCTGAAAATAAATTGTAATTTTTAAAAAAGATTTTCCATTAGATTAGATTTTCTTTTTAGATTCTTCGTTATTTTGTGATTTTTTATTTTCTTTTTGGATTATTTGGTTGCTTTAGATTTTTCGCTTTCTTTTTAGGCAAATAAAAGTATTTTGTTCGTTTTTCGATTGCGGTCTCACTTGGAAAGGTTTCAGTGTAGTATTTTGAAATAGTCATTAATAATACCTGTGTATCCCAAGATGTACGGTGTTGATTTAAAATATTGAGCGTCACTCTTCCAATCTCTTTTAATGTCCTTCTCATTGGGAATGACTATCAACTCTTCGGCTGCAATATTTGGTTTGTATGGTCCTGTCTTCAAGATATTTTTCTCGAATAGTTCCTGCCACATTAAAACAGCATTTACTTACTTGAATCAGACAAAGCTTGGTGCAATCAGTGGCTATTTCAATGTCAACTATTTTTAATTAATATTGACTATATATATAATAAAAAGGAAGTTAAATTTTAACTCCTTTTTTTCAGGGTAATTATTTACTTATATACATTTTTCATGAGCCATTTGCACTAAACTTTGTCTGGTGAAATTATTAAATCCCTATTTGTCCCTATTGTAAAATATTTGGAAAATACTTTATAATTTTTTTATTTTCTAATTAAATTAGATATAATAAATAAATTAAGAAATTTTTTTTTATTTTAGATCCTCTTTTTAGGATCTATTGAATTTTTACTCATTCTCTAGTCGCATCTTTAAATTTGAATTAGTAAAATTATTTACTAATTTGAATTACTAACAGACTTTTTGCTTTTGCATTAGTAACTTTTAATAAAATCAGTAATTTCTAATAATTTATTAGTAAATTTTACTAATTCAAAAGCAAATAATAGTAACTTCTATTACTGACTTATAAGTAAAGTTTACTAATTCAAGAGCAAAAAAGTCCGTCACTAATTCAAATTAGTAAACATTTTTACTATAATTCCCAATTTAGAGAGCAAATTTTACGTTATTCTCCTCTTAATAAATTTAATTAATAAATTAATTTAAAAAAAGTAAATTATTTATTTTATAATAATTGTTCAATAATTTGTACAATATTATAATAATTAACGTTAAAATCCATATGCGCTTGGAATAAATAATTCTCTTTTCTTCCTGTATTTTATTTTATTTATTATTTTTTTTATGAGAGAATGAAAATCAATTATCGTGAAACTTGCACTTTACTTACTTTCATTATATCTTCTGTACAAGCTCCAAATCCTTTACCGAATCGAAATTTAAGGGTAGGACAGTGTCCGGTATATCTGAAAAAAAAATTATTTATTTATTAATTTATTTTCTTTTATAAAATTCACTTTAAGCAATGAAAAATCTTTTTAGTAATCCAATTATTTTCAATATACGATTTCAATAAAATTACTTGATAGAATTGAATTATTTTAAAAAATTTTAATTAAAGTCGTTCAAAGAATTTAAAAATTTTCAAAAGTTTAAAAAAATTCTTCGCAAGAATTTGATTATTTTCAACATAATTTAAATAAAGTTCCTCAAAATAATTCAAATTTTTTTTATAAATTTCTTCAAAAGAATTAAATTTATTCAAACATTTTGATACAATTTTTCATAAGAATTTAATTGTCTTCAATATATACATTTTTAACTAAATTCCTCGAAAGAATTTGAATTTTCATCGAAATAATTTAATTATTTTCAAAAATATTAAAAGAATTCTTGGGAACATTTAATTCTTTTTATAAGTTATAAAATACTTTGGAGGAATTAAATAATTTTCAATTCAATTAAAATAAAAATTTCTTGATGGAATTCAATTATTTTCAAAAATTTTGATAAAATTCTTTAGAAGAATTCACTTTGTTTAATTAAATTCTCTCAAGAAATTTAATTATTTTCAGAAGATTTTAATAAAATTCTTTTAAACAATTTTTAATAATTCAATTGTTTTCATAAATAATAAAATTTTTTTTTACAGGGATTCAATTATTTACATAAATAATATCATTTTTTACAGTGATTCAATTATTTTCATAAATAATAAAATTCATCGCAGAATTTTAATTATTTTTAATACAATTTTAATCGAACTACTTGAAAAATATAATTATTCTGAAACATTTTTATTAAAATTCATCGAAAGAATTCAATTATTTAAAAATTTATTGATAAAATTCTTTAATTGAGATTTTAATTTTGAGAATAATATGCAAATTTTTAGAAAGAGTTGAATTTTTAAAAAAATTGAATTTAAAATGTTTGAAAATTTGTATTATTCATACTTTTCAATATCTATTATTTTAGTAAAAATTTCCAAAATAATTCAATTACTTAAAAAAATTGTAATGAAATTATACGCAAACATTTTATTATTTTTATAAATAATAAAAATTTCACAAGAATTCAATTATTTACAAATTTGTTGATAAAATTTTTCATGAGAATTTAATTTTAAAAACTATTATTCAATAAATTATTTATGTGCATTTTATTTGTATTTAAATAATTGAATTAACTTAGAATTTTTTTTATAAAAATTGATTTAAAAATGAATTTCATTTAAAATTGTGTAGATAATAATTGAATATTAAAGACATTTGAATTTTTAGAAATAATTGAATTTGAAAAAGGTTTCAAGTTAAAATCTTTGAAAATTTGAATTCTTCATACTTTTAACTAAACAATTTTGTACTAATTAATTGTTTTTGAAAAAGTTTATTTGGATTTTTTTTTTTTTTGAAATTATTTGAAGTTTTTATTTTCGAATGTACACTTGAAGAATTTACGAATAATCGATGAAATATTGAAATATCGTGAAATTGAATTGTAAACAAATTAAATAACAAATAAAAATATATATATCATAAAACATGAAGATATCGATCACTCCGAGTGTTCGACTCGAGGCAATCGATATCTTCATGTTTTATGATAATATTTTTATTTGTTGTTTAATTTCAAAACTGGTTGAATTTTAAATTTCTGATAATTTTCATTTATATAGGGCAAATAATAATGATTAAATATTTATTTAAATAAGAAACTCGATAAAAAATTATTGATGTTTTCGAATAATTTTACAATTAAAGAAATTCGTGAATAAATAAAATTTATAATACAGAAATTATTGGTTCAAATAGCATTTAATCGGCTCCAATAAATATTATTTAATTCAAGTAAATATTTAATTGATAATAGTCTATTAATCGGTTATTTGAATCAAATTAATTTTTTTTCCCAGTGTATAAAGTAATTAAAATGAAAGTATTAGTAACATTGGGTTAAGTTAATAATAATAATAATAATAATATGTGTTCCAATTATTTTCTTATAGAATAAATTCATTATATTTATTTATAATATAAATATCGAATGTGATGCTTCGAATGAAGATCAACCCTGAATAAAATATATAGGTATATATAAACTAGTTTCTACAGTGTATATCTATAATGATGAAGGTCTTATGGAAAAGAAGTTGTAGAACTCCAAATGTGGGCTATCGATGACCCAGAACCTCTACTCTGTGACGGTCACGGCGCAGTAATCAGCCATTGATTTCAAGTCACTCCCATTCGATTCTTTTTCATTCACTGTCATTGTTTTATATCTATATATACATTATTTATTTGCCTAGACCTGCTTCATTTTTATTTTCTCTCAAATTTTTGTCAATCATTCATTTCCACATGATGATCATGATTGACCTATTTCCTCGCAATATATAATGGAAAAAGAAAGATGAAAAAGAAAAGAATTCAGTTCATCAATAAATTGATGGTAATTTTTTTTCCTCGAATATTACCCTGATGGACAGTGACGACTTTGAAACTTTTTTTTTTTTTTTTGACCTTTTGATGAATTTTTATTTCAAGGGCAATTTATTTGTTGCTTCGTTCGTGTGGAAAGGAAAAATAATTTTTTATACTTTTCCTCGAAAGTTTTTGAAGTTTCTTGAACTTTTGTATTTTTGAAAATTATTATTGAAAAACAAATTTTAATTAAATATTTCGTTTTTTAGGAATCAATTCTTTTTTTTAATTTAGTAAAAAAATAATTTCGCAAACAAAATTCTTTTAATAAAGTATCAAAACAATAATTGTTTGTCTAAATGTTAAAAAATTCAGAACTACTTTTTATACGTACGTATAGATATAAAATATTTATCTTCAGTTCAATCTTTAGTTATTTTAGTACTTTGTACGAAAGGGTTTTACCCGTTAACTTCTTGAATAAATAATTTACTTTTTACGCACATTTTTATTACTCTCTAAATTTGAATTAGTAAATTTTACTAATAAATAGTAATTTCTACTAATTTATTAATTTGATTTACTAATTTTACTTTTTGCTTTTGAATTAGTAAATTTTACTAATAAATAGTAATTTCTACTAATTTATTAGCAAAATTTACTAATTTAATAAGCGAAAGTAAAATTAGTAAATCAAATTAATAAATGAATAGAAATTATTATTTATTAGTAAAACTTACTAATTCAAAAGCAAATAGTCAGTCACTTGTTCACATTTGTAAACATTTTTACTAATTCAAATTTAGAGTAAAATATTGTAAAAATATTTCAGTGAAAAAATTGTAATGAAATAAACGATTTAAATTTTATTTATTTACTTATTTATTTACATTATTTACTTATTTTATTTATTTACTTTTTACGCATATTTCTATTTTAAATATTTTTGTTTTTTAGTTTCTATTTAATTTTTATGCTTCAAGCATTCAAAAAATAAAATTAATTAAGTATAAATATTATTAAAATTAAAATAATAATAATCTATATTAATAATCGTTGTATTTCGGTAATCAGTTCCCAATTTGAAGTTAGTTGCTGTTTCCTTATTTGAAAATAATTGAATTTTATGAAGAATTTAATTATTTCAATAATTGTAATAAAATTCTTTAGTCAATTTATAAATAACAAAAATCTTCGTAAAAAATTCAATTATTTTTATATATAAATAATAACATTCTTATCAGAATTTCACTAATTTTCAATACAACTTTAATTAATTTCTTCAAAAATTTCAATTATTTTTTATTTAAAGAAATTAATTTTAAAAATTCTCCGAGAAAAATCAATAATTAAAAAAGCTTTTAATAAAATTTAATTCAAGAATTCAATTATTTTCATAAATAAAGAAATTTTTGCTGAAATTCAATTATTTCAAATACAATTTTAATAAAATTCTTCTCAAAAATAAACTTGTTTTTTTAAATTTTGCAAAAATTCAATTATTTGTAGAAATAATAAATTTTTTCACGCACAGGGATTCAATTATTTAAAAAAGTTTTAATAAAATTCTATTCAGGAATTAAATCGTTTTCAGAAATACATTTTTTTTTTAAATAATTGAATTCTTGGCGAGATTTTTTATTAAAATTCTTTAAAATAATTGAATTATTTTTAAGAAGTTATTTTAATTTTCTTGGAAATAATGAGTTTTTTTAAAAATAATTTTTACTAAAATTTTGAAAATAATTTAATTTTTATTAAAACTCTTGAAAATAATTGAATTTAAATAATATTTTTAAAAATAATTGTATTCTTACGAGAATTTTTATTAAAATTGTATTGAAAATAATTGAATTCCTTTGAAGGATTTTATTATTTATAATAAATATTTTAATTTTTGCGAAAAATTTTCTTATTTATGAAAATAATTGAATTCTTGCGGAGGATTTTACAAATTCATTAAAATAATTAAATTGTTTCAGAAAATTTGTTATCTGAATTTTTTGAAGGAATTTTATTAAAAATGTTGAAAATAATGATTTTTTTAAAAAAGAATTTCATCAAAATTGTTGAAAATAATATTGAATTTATATTAAAATTCTTGAAAATATAATAGTTTTTAATTAATATTTTGAAAAATAATTGTATTCTTTCGAGAAATTTTATTAAAATTGTATTGAAATTGATTGAATTCTTGTGAAGAATTTTACTATTTAGGATGAGAATAATGAAATTCTTGCTACAAATTTTATTAAAATTTTTTAATAATAATAATATTTAGTAAATTTTACTCATAAATAGTAATTTTTACTAATTTATTAGTGAAAATTACTAATTCAAAAACAAAAAGATAGTCAAATTAGTAAAAATTTTTACTAATTCAGATTTAGAGAGGAATTATTTACTAATACCAATTAGTTAATTTCCAATATAGTTATTTTGTATTTTAGTAGAAATTACTATTTATTAATAATAAATAAATTAGTCGAAATTATATTTATTAATAATAAACAAATTAATAGAAATTATATTTATTAGTT